GGTTGTTGATGAAATGCTATCATGATCACTAGATGAGGCTTCTGAGTCAAAGTATTCACTTGCACTTGAAATAATGTGTTTTCTACCTAAACTTATGTAAGAATGATTGACGAAAGCGGAGATATTACCAAAAGAGTTTAACGTTTAAAAGTCACATGTCAATAAAGAACTTTCTTTTCACCTGTGAACTGTTCGAGTAAATTGAAATGACTACTGTATATTAGCATAAAAACGAGACAAATCTTTGAATTGCAATTAGTTAGAACAGCACAAAAGCATTGAAACGAGCCATCCAGACGGGATACATTTAAAACAGAAAACTTCTATTGAAGCTACGCAACCAGTGAATAACAACAACAAGTTGAAAGAGCAAAGATAATCCAATAGAGTGATAAAGTAATGATATCACAAACTTCTTTTCTAAGAATTCTTAATTTTTAACGAGAAAACCTAAAGAGCATATGAAATACCTCTTATTTTACCAGAGCAGCTATATCTTCTGCAAATAGAAAGAGACGTCGGAAAGAGGGCGGGGGCTATCGCCTCTTCCCTTTTGATAGGGGGGCAAGGGGCCTTTTGCCCATTTCATAAAGGTTCCTTTGACACTGACCTTTTGTTTATTACTAGAAATATTTGGGAAGAATGGACACCAGTAGCATAAAACTATGATCCTTTTCGGGTACAATTGTAATTTTACGACTTTAATTGTTTCAGCAACTATGTGTGTTTTATGGTAGAAGGGTACTTTGGTTGTTTACATTTTTTTTAAAATACTGTAAATTATTTCCAGTCTCGATTTTCTTAGGAAATTTTGTTTTTGTCTGAATATATTCTTAAAGTATTCTTGGTTTTTCAAATCTGATGTGGTTTCAGGGGAAGATCGCCCGCTTCTGAATAAAATCCAGGCTTTTGATAAACGAGATCTGTCAGTGCTTCCATTCCCTTTAACGAAGATCGCAAAGCAGGCAACTGCTGAAAAGTGAGACACCAATATACGAGCTAAAGCTGAGCAATATTCTTATGATGTTCTTAAAAATAGGATGATTCTCAGCTTGAATTTTCTTAAAAACAATATTCTTATAAGAAAAAAGAGTGTAAAAAGTCAACTATAAATTCAAGTTGATTGTTAGCCTTTAGAATATGTTTAAACTTATGCATTTCTATTTGGTATCAAACTAATCAAAAGTCTGAATTGGGATGACCACATGCATGTTTCTGAACCCCTTCCCTGTACAAGCTCCTACGCTTTGCAGCTGACAACTCTCTCACTATGTACTAAAGTACCCATGCAGCCCTATTGCCTAGGAAAAGAAAATGACAAGGAGGGAGGAACATGTGCAGCTTCTTAGCTCAAAGTCCTTTGTACCATACTCTCTATATTTTTACATTATTTGTAGCACATGAATTCTATATATTGTTTGTTCATATAAGGTGAGCTTGCTATTAGAAGATATTTTACGAATGTACCATTTCCTTAGAATCTCTCCCCCCACCTCTCTGCATACACAGTTCATTGATTCTCCCAAAATTGAGTTCTATCAATTGATAAAAGCTAATTACTGTATTTATGGAATCGTCCCCAAAATCACGAAATGATAAACTTTTGGGCGTCCGGTTATCGAGTTTAACTCTCTCCTTTCAGTGCCCTTATAATCATTTAGCTATCTAAAAACTCTCACGTGACCCAGTTCAGCCCTACCTCAACTTACTTGCACACTAATTATAACTTAAGCCCCTCCACCACCGAGAAATAATCAAAGGATTTTTGTAACCGCGAATTTCTACGTTGGTTTGGTGAACCAAAAATCACGCTCAAGGTTGACAATTGTGCAAAGATTGTGTGGCTTTCAAAGTGACATTGAAGTGTGTGGGGTGACGAGTCACAAGACTGGGAAAATGACTGTTACCTCTGCCAGTGGCAGTGGAGTGAGGGGCGGTATCTCACTACATCGACTATGGTGAAATCCGAATGCAAATCGTCACCCGGCCAACAGAAAAACTTAACTTAACTGAACTGGAGCTGAACTGAACTGAATTGAACTGGAGCTAAACTGAACTGAACTGAACTGAATTGAAATGAAATGAACTGAACTGGAGCTGAACTGAACTGAACTGGAGCTGAGCTGAACTGAACTGAACTGAACTGGAGCTGAGCTGAACTGGAGCTGAACTGAACTGGAGCTGAGCTGAACTGAACTGGAGCTGAGCTGAACTGGAGCTGAGCTGAACTGGAGCTGAGCTGAACTGAACTGAACTGGAGCTGAACTGAACTGGAGCTGAACTGAACTGAACGTTGCTTGCACCTTTCTTGTTGTTATAGATCCATTGACAGACTTTTCAGTGTTACCCCAGTCTTCTAAACCAACGACCAAGGATGTCACGCAACAGTTTAGCCCATCCTTGAGATATGGGCACATAAGAACAGGTTCTTTCTCCATCAAATCGCTGTAATTTGGTCTTGTTTATCAAACCTTTCAGAAACCGTTAGCAAACTTCAAGTCTTACGTTTTCCAAACCTCAGTCAATTATCGAGGTATTGGGGCATTCTACGATCTTGTGATCAAAAGCCAAAAGTTTAAATATAACGTTTTTATGACGTCACACTTGTTGAGCATTCTACCAGCCTTTTATTACAGGAGCACCCCCCCCCCCCTTCCCCTTAATTGGCACATTAACAAGGCTCTGGCACGATCTGAACTTTCCTCAATAATAGATAGTAAAGGGACTGCCGTAGTTACCAAATATAAAAGCTAGGAAGAAAGCATTTGAGATAGAGTTATCTCTATGTAATCTTGGAAAGTAACAAACGACAAACGAGACAACGATACAGTCAGATCGAATCGTTCTGTTAATAATACCAATATAGGGAAAACGTACACTTTTTATTTTTGATGCCTCATAAAGCCTCCATCTTCCCTAGAAATCAATACGTGCATACCAATGAGCATAACCTTACAATTTTTGTTTAACACCATTTGCGTCTTTTTACTTTAACTACCCTCAACACCAAATTAAGATCTCTAAATTATACCTTCTGGTTTATTTGCATCCAAATACTTTGACAGGCATTCTAACGATCTTGCTTCTGGGCCTAACCAAAAATGGGCAGTTAAAACGATCCGTGACTTGATTTGATTCCAAATGTTTGTCAACTGCAAGGGGAACAGCGTGCTGTTTGTTTCTTACTCAAACGCGATTTGAATATACTTTGATTATTCATGCTAACATAAAACACGGGATAGATTGCGATGCGCTGTTCGTTTTGTTTCCACGATTGCCTGTTTTTAATGTATACAAACAGGAACGGCCCTCATATTCAAAGACGTAAATATCAAGCAACAAATATTTGTAACACAAGAGTCCTTTGGTTCAGCAAATGACACGAAGGTCACATAATGATGCATGTGAACATTTCGAATCAACAAGGGAGACAAAAGGCGTCAAAAGCGAGAGATTTTTTAGAGAACCCCCTTAAACCACCGGCTTTGTTAGGAACAAACTCGAATGTATAGTTGCCAAGCAAATGTCAGAAGTAAATGTAACAAGATAGTAAATAAATGTAATTTGTTCAGTTGAATGAAAGGGAGTAGGAAGTAACACGAATTATAATATGTCGTAGCTACAGGGACAGAGCAGCCATCGGGTAACCAACCACGTAGCTGTAGGTGTCGGCTAGGGGGCAAACTCGAGCAAGAACCATACCTGAGAGGGGCAGGCTTTAAAACAAGAAAACAGATATATAACCAACAAATATATTTGGACAAAATAAAGGTCATGGAATTATAAATATACAAAATTTTCGAAATATCATTTGGAAAAAACTGTAGCCAGAGGGGCAAGCTGTTGTCAAAATTTTCATTTGGGGGCCCCCCCCGCCCCCCTGCAGTTACGTGGCAGCAGGTAACAAAGGGCAAAATCACCAGAGGTCTACCTAGGGAAGGGGAGCTAGCATATTTTATATTTGATTCAGATCGCATGCGACAAAAATCTTCAAAACACCTCTCAAACATGAATTCCTGTCGCAGGAAAAAAATCGTTATCGCTGGCGACAAAGGCGTCAGTTTGCGCTGGGCTAAGATGTACGGCATGTTTTAAATCTTTTTGTCTCATTCAACAAAAATCGCACATTTAGGATCCTGCAGACCTATAATTTTTGCTACAGAAAAACATAAATCGATATGGCGTGTACCAAATTTCCAGTGTACCATAAGCTTTAGGGTGCAAAACATTACTAAATAATTGTCAAATTAATAAAAATCCGATCAAATTTTTCACAAATGGCCTACGACGTCTGCAGAAATGATCAAACTTTTGTTTTACTGCATTTTAATTCAAATGTTTCTTTGAACAACTAACTAACAGGGATTTAGCAAACATCGCTAAATCTTTAAATTGCAAATGCGGTGGTTAGCTCTAGATATATATGGTACAATATAAATGATTTTGACATCATAATCTTTATTAATCAATCGTTCTAACTATCTGGACGACAATGTTTCTTTTTATCCTGGTCAGTAAAGTTTATATATATAAGTATTGAAGAAATGATTGGAAAACAATGTAAAATGCATGCTAGCCATAATTCATTTGTTTTTAGTAGCCTTCTCGTGATTATCATTCATGCGACGGATATTCCTTCTCGACTCGCTGTTCGGAACTTCCGATCTAGCCATATTCGATAGAACGTGGATACGATATATCGTATCAAAAACAAATAAAGCCAATACGACATATAGTCTGAAACCAATCAAATCTCTACGGAGAAGCTACACAAGGGGGAGGGGGGGGGTGCATTCTATCCAAAACATGTCGTCTAAAACCCGGGATCTCGTACGGATATTCGCGGAATGAATTGTCTTGTACAAGAATAAACAGGTTTCTATTTTACACATAACTAACCATAGGAGTATGCAATTGCTTTTTGCTGCAGATTAATCTATACAAACATGCATATAAATCTTATAAAGAACAATTAGGAAAACAGAGAAAGATGAACATACTTCAGCTTTAATAACTGTTGTCGTCCGTGATCGCTAAAGACACTCATTTTCGCAAAACGACTGCCAACATTTTCAGACAGCCCCAAAGCTTCGTCTTATCTCAGCATTTGAAAGGGACCTTTTGCAAATGCAAGACTTGCTAAATAGACCAAACAAAACATATTATCAACTGGATAGCTATTGTCTACTTGCTGGAACATACAGGTGGTGAGTGTTGCCGAAAAATCAACAAAACAATACACCGAATAAATAACTGGTACTGAATATACAAATAGACGGGTGAAAAATTCGACTTGATCGTTACGGTTTGAAATGCAAAGTCAACCTCAGGTTGATGAATTTTGTTGAAAACAGCAAAGAAATTCTTGCGATATGCTTTATACTAAAGTTGTTCGATTATAAGTTATTTAGAGCAGATTTCTCTTCATAGGAAGCTTTTTAAGTCTCGGACAAAGAGAATTGATAAGGACTTTGTGAAAAGGGGATAGTTTTCCTAAAGTCAGTTTACAGGGGTTTGGGCTCTAGGAATCATTGTGACACGTTTAACGTGGTTTTATTGACGTCTTTAGTCCATTCATTTCAAAGTCTCCAATTCAGGAATGCAACCTAGAAAAAGGAAAGCACGGGCAAGGGGAATTTCAATAACGCTATTTTCAATAGAAAATTGATAAAGATAAGATCAAAGAATGAAACGGATGAAAAACTGATATCTAATAAAAGATTTAATTTTCTGTCATTAGGTAATAATCAGCGATGTGGCCCATTGACTTCACAAAAGAAAGCAAAGTAAACTGTTAGGGTCTCTAAAGAATGTTGAAAGTGAAATAAAGGTCTTTAGATGATCCTTAATTATCATTGATACAAAGATAAACAATTATATATAAAAATCATTACATAAGCTTACAATACAACCCAAGCAAAATGTTTAGTTTACGCACTTTCTTCAAACTTCCTCTCGACGAACGAGTACTTAAAGGGGCATATATCAAAAAAGTTTTCCTAAACTTGATGTCTAAAATTTGACTGATTTTTTCAGTATTAAATACTGGCTACATAAAACGTATTCAAAAAAAGCTAATTGACTTGACATCCAATCGGGTATTAATTGGCTAATTTGCTTGAAAGCTATAAAACAATATCTAAAGTGAAGAACACATTTGAAAAAGAAAACAAGATTGGACTAACAATTTGGCAATTTTTTAATGAAATTATCAAATTTACCTTTTAATTATCTATCATGTTGCAGAATTATGAACTTTGCTTAGGCCAAGTTTCAAGCCTTTACACAAATTCCGCCTTGCTATTCTAAATTTTTACAGATAAGAACCAGGAAAGAATTTAAGCAACAATGATTGGGGTGGGTGTTAGATAATTTTGGTACCACACCCTTCAGGTCACTGGAAAATGACGGAAACGCCCGTTTTTAACAGATAAGAAGATAAATAATGTTAAATCTTGGCGTTCATTTGTTTCTACAGACTACCAAAAAATGATTATTACCGAATGGAAGCAAATAACACAGAAATATTGGGAGGGGTGTCACACCCCCTACACCCCCTGCTAAATCAGTCCCTGATAAGAACACTTGCTATAGCAAAGGAAAATTTGATGTTTCTTTAACGATTATCAGAGAAGGTCATGATTGCAAGACCAGAGAGTGACAACGTTCTCTTTTCACTAACTTTCCAGCATGTCTGCTACCGTAGCTAATTGCATAAAATTGTCTATCAATCTTGCTTAAAATGCAACACATCTCAGCCTTAATGAATTTGAATATTCCAGTTCAAAGGAAAAGATCTAGTTTTGAATCCAGCTTTAAACCTATTTACATTGCAATATCATCTTCCATTCCTATGACCAAAAAAAACATGAGATCCCAATTATACTTTCCCTGAAACGCTAAAAAGCGATTAGCTTTCATTTATTCACCAAACTGCGCGGTCAAGGGAAGAAAAAGAGGTCATTTGATTGCTATGGTGCGCTCCAATAAGATCTTATTCAGGGCTGCCATTCTAAATCGGCTAAGTGGTTTCCTTATAAATGCGAACTGTTGCCTGTATGTTTACAAGCATTGATAGAATTTCACAATGGTACCAGTAAAAATCCCCCGAAGCAACACTGTTTGACGTCAGAGCGAACGTTTTTATTGTATGTTAAAACAGAAATAAGGCTTGTAAACATTAATATTTAGTTGTCTTTTGAAATACAGTGCGAGATGAATACAGGTTTTCTAAGATACACAGACAGTCGTCACTGTTTATTCAGTTCATTCGATCAATAGTAAGTGAATCTATAAATTCGATCAATAGTAAGTGCTAGGTGACAAGAGGACTGGGCTTTCCTTGTTAGAATCCCAAAGTGACTAATTTCAGCATCTTTCTACTTTTCTTTAAGACAGCTGCGAGAGGCTGTCTTCTTATTTTTATAACACTAACATATCAATTGGAAAATATAAAAATGTACGTTATCGAGTTGCAAAAATGTATTGGGCAACTTAAGATACTGAGATAGGCCTACAAGTCAAGATGATTTAATAAAGAGAGGGCCAGGCACATTTGAGCAGATCTCAAAAAGTGGGTGGGAGACATTTCGTTCTCAATTGACTCAAACTTTTGGTAAAGCTTGTTTAGATAGCTGTCCTAACGATCAAAAGGCTCTGTGGTTGTAAAATTTGCGGTATTTCAACATATATATCCCTGTAAAGATCACAAAGCTTTTTGTGCTGACTGAAACCTTTGTACAACGTCACTCGTGTAATTAATCCACTTTCTGTCTATTAAATCCAAAGAATATTTAAGGGCCTTTAACGCAATACCGGATTCATTTCGTATCGGATTACTGTTGGAATGAAATCTGTCCTCTGCGAAAGAAGAATGGGAGCATAACCCGATACTCTACTGCTCCGGCCGGAGATTCATGGTTTTATGCCAGGTTTTGCTTAGCGGCTTTGTATGAAATGACTCCGGTATCGTATGAACAGGGTCTGAATCGTTTATCGGCTTCTTTAAAGCGTGTGATCACATGACATTTGGCAAGTGACAACCCAAAAAGGGACAATTCCCCCTTACCCATCCTCGCATGGATAAGAACCGTTGCTATGGGCTTGACTTGTGGATTTAGATTTTTACACATAATGTAATTCACTGATGATAGGGTTATCGTGATCAGTTGCCTCGTAGAAGTGTATCTAAATCTAAATAAAAAATCTAAAAATTGAAATGCATTTAACTGCAATACGTGCCAAAAGTAGGAGTGGCTTTTTAATTATCTGGGGGTAGTGCTTAAGGAATGAGGGAAGCGATGGCCCCCGCAATTAGCTGTTATCACGTGTTAGCTATTACTAGAGTCTAAGGGCAATCGGACAACAAACAAAGTTTTTCCAGAGTTACAGGGTCGCCTAGTCAACAACCTCGGTTTGGAATCAAAAGCGGATCATTCGGGCCCAACTTCCAGCCAAGATTCTAATTCGTTGCTAAATTTTCAGCTAAATGGAAAACTATTTACATCGGAGAAGGTACCTATTACATTAAAGGATGAACGTTTCAAAAAAGATAAATCATATTATGTTGGTTTGGTGTTGCAAGTAGAGCCGCTGATCAATTTCCACTGTTCAATTTACCTTAAGTGTAGTATTAAAAAATACTGTCTTCAAAAAAGAGGCACTCTAAAGATTCTTTTGAATCTCAAAACCTGCTTATAAATATGTCTGCGAACTTCAATTAAACCATCACAGATATGATTCTGTATTCAGATATGATTTTTAACCAACAAAATGCGACATTTCCATTTGGCTTGTACACCAAAATGAGCTAATATTCATCGATAGGGGGGGGGCATGAGTGAAGAGGCAAGAGGCAGGGGGCAAGCTTGTGGGCTCAGAAGAGTTAATGGTACAAGAGCCTGGAGTACTGAAGGGGATAGGGAAGTGAAGTTGGGGGGCTTGTGAGTTTTAGCGGTTACCAGGGAGGACCTCAGGAGGTAGGGGGCTCAAGGAGGTAGATCCTTTACGAGGCAGAACATATGAGGATTTGTTCATCCAAACTTGTTGAAATTAACGAGATTCGGACAGCTTAATTCAAATAAGAACCAGACACAAACATTTAGATAGCTTAAATGCTTTGTAGGTATTTTGAAGTTTTATAAGCAACACTATCAATTTTTCATGACGCTACAGACAGGTACCCAAACATTACTAAAGTTAGTCTATTACATAAATTAGCAATTCCTTCTAAAACAAATCAGGCTTTTGCGGATGGTATAGAGTTTTGCCGCAACTGGACGAGTTTTGCCTGTTTAAGAAAAGGTAAATCAGGCCCTCAAAAAACTCAAAAGAGATATCTGCATATGAAAATTCCCTAAAACCAAACAGTGTGTCGACTTTATTACAATAATAGGGGAATTTCTACAAAGAAAATGCTGTCTTCTTGCGATATGAGATTTTTGGCCTATTAAACAACGCCTTTTATAAAGTCATGAAAGATTACTTGGCCTAAAAAGCTAACCCAACCAATAGTACCAGGAGAAACGTTCTCTCGAGCGATTTTTTCCCAGGACGAGGGTCCAGAGTCAATGAAATTTGAATCCAGTACCTTATTGCATGCCCGTCTAAAATAAATTCTCATGTTGCCAGTTTGCAGACATCCTCGTATGAAAATCCGTCGATACTTTTACCTTTGTCTTTTCCCTGTGAAAACAAAAAAAATTGGAATCGCTATATTTTGAAAACTACAGATTAAAGCCAAACAATTAAGCATTTAGCATTCGGAATCAGCACCTGGTTTTATCTGATGAAGTATAATTACAAATAAAGATAAGAAGTGTGTATTGGATACAAAATATAAAACAGACTTGCAACCAACCAGACGAAAACTTTGATGTAAACACTGAATTATTCACAAGTAACATAAAAAGAATAGTCTGTTCATGCAAACGTATTGATATTTCTATTGATTAGCAATGATAAAAACTGTGTTAGTTAGTGGATTTAAAAATCGATTTTTAATGCTTTCGATGTCTGAAAAATATAAGTGCTTGTTTGTGAACGTGATAAGTGCATATATTAACAGGGCTTCATACACATACATTTCGTGAGGATGGCTCAGTGGTTTAAAGCGCGGACTACCGATTCAAGAGTCTAGAGTTTGAGCCACTGATATGACCAAACTTTCATTTAGAGTAAGGAGAGTCACCAGCTCTCTGCATCTTCATTTGTAGGAATCATGAGATGTGGTCATATCGAGAGAAAGGACCAGGACACTGCTTTATAAGCACAACTTCTCTGTGTCTTTAAAACTACCTTCAGATACAAGGTATTAACAAAATTCAAATACAAATAATTCATACACTCTCTATTCTTGCAGTGATTGAAAAGCGCCTTTCATCTAGTGACATCATGGTTGCAGTCTCTCCGCGATATACACCATTGAGAATCCTCAGCAGTCGCCCTTCAAGGGAAAAGGTGTTATCATCATCATCATCAACAAAAACCTATCTGACTACTCAAAGGTCGATACTAAAAGTTACTCTGCAATTTCTGAGAATGTAAAAACAATACAATTAATCTGTTAGTATGTTATATAAAAGAAAAAATATGGCTTTATTCATCTCAAAATAGATAAAGTGATTAGGTATTCAGCTTTTTTGGGGAAACGCGACATAAAATGCAGTCTTAAAGAAATGCAAAAAAGTCTGCGTCATTCAGTGCTGTCGCTAGTGATTCTGCTCAAGGGGAATTCCTTCCCTACAAGATGACAAAATAATCCTTAATTAAACGAAATTATTTTCAAGAGGGGTGTCACACAGAGGTGCCTTTATAAAAAATAAGGAGGGGTTGTGCTGTAGGCAATAGATAAAAGGCCACACCCATGTTCACACCCAATATTCCTGCATTTACCCAATATACTTGCATTTATGTTTAAGATTCGCTTTTGTGAATATGGAACTATTCAAGTACTCTGAAAGGCTAATAGAAAGAGCCTATATAGGAAAATCGATAGCAAAATAATGGGTTAGTTTACATTGCCAAGTAGGGAAATCGCCCGACCAGACATATACCGGCCTGTTAGGGGTACTGTGTCCAGCAAAAATCTCTCTGAGTTTTTACAAGAGGGTTAAGCACTCGAGCCCCCTAGCCACCCATCCACGGAAGCCCTTGTATCATATCCCCTAGGCCACAATTATTGTGTGATTGAAGTTGCGTTACCGATATCTAGCGTAGTGAAAACCAGCTATTCTAAATGTCACTTAAGAGATCAAGATAAGCTAAAGAAACAGACCTGGTTGTGGTATGACAGTTTCTATGTGAGCCTGGTCAAGCTTCAGTTTATCTCCACTGTCCAGCATTTCAACTACAGCAACAAATTTATCTTTAACGGCCTAAAGAATAAGAAGATGTAGATTAAAATGCAACGAAACTTAATAACTGACCATGGGTAAAACAACTACAAACAAAGCTATTTAGTTTGAGCAGAAAATTTAAAAATAGCCTTTTGGCAATCTTTGATTAATCGTCGGTCGTTAAAGACATCGTATAGGGGTCGTATAGAATGAACATTTTTGTGTATTTCCATGACAAACTGAATCGATTTTATTTTGGGCTGGCAACGGCGATTGCTATAGCCAGATAAAATAAACTTGTTTCACCAAAATGATTGGACAAAAATGTCACTATCACTCTCTTTATCGACGAACTAGAAATTTTCCCAGGTTAGTTGTTCGGATTTCTTGAACGAATTTGAGGCTTGGGGCGTTATAGTAATGTTATTATTTCAATAGTGATTTTTTTACAATTTATTACTTTAAATTTTTTCTATGAAACTAAAAACAATGTCACAAGTCAATTTGTTTTGTTAACATCAGGGAAAGTTATACATAGTCGTCACATAGTCATCTGAAGAAGAGCAAATTCATATGTTGCTCTCATTTCTTGGAAAATTCAAGCTCGAGGTCTTATTATAAAGTGTGTTATATAGTAAATAGTGATAAGAAAAACTGAAACGAAGTCATTTTCTTGTTTAAAAGAGGATGAGAGTCCTGTCAGCTTATAAAAGGTTTAGCATACAAAGCTGGATATGATAATGAAGGCGCTAGATCAATCAGTACAATCAATTAACGTTTTGTATGTAACTCCAAATTTTTCTGAACGATTTTGAGTGGCTACTAGATTAACCATCGCAATATTAGTCTGGATATAATTTTTCTTACTGTTTGTGCTTGGAGTGTAGATAATATGGCAATATCAAGCATCAAAACTTATAAAAGGCACTGACTACAAAATTACCCTGATTAAACTTTTCACCCACAGCTGATAATCACGATCAAAACCATAATAAATTGTCAGCTTTAGGCTCTCGTAGGATCAGCAACATGAAAACATACATATAGAATGAAAATGATCTTTTATCCAAATCTTTAGCCAAAAAAATTGGTAAAAATGTTTAGCTGTTCTTTAAATTCAGGCATAAATTGAATTGACATACATAAATGCGGTGTTTTGCTTTATAAGTAGAATGCGCGTTAAACACGACTTTAAACTTTATGCAGAATGAATTTGCTTATTTATTCTCCAATCAAAATAATCAGCAATCCTCTAGGATTATCCATAAAAACCCATAAATGTCCAAAGGCTATTTGAAATTAGCTGCCAATGTGTACAAAACATACAATATGTATGGAGTAAAGAATTGTCTTTGTTATTGAATGTAAACGTAAACTAAAGTAAACAATAAAGCGATAAATGTTAAATGTATAGTTCAAATTGAAAGAAATAAACAATAAACAGCTCCATGTGCCCACTAATCTCAGACCAGGACGGGTATATCTCAAGGCAAAATTCAGTATTCAAAATTTTATGTCTTTTATGTCTTAAAACTTTTGCTCTTACAAAGCCATTTGGATTTAGTACTTTTAAACGTTAAGAGAGAAAGTCAAAAATGTAGTTTGGTCTATCGGTCTTTCATTCTCCGGAGTGCTCTTGTAAAAAAGTCTAAACTTTCCAGCTATTCTTATCAATGACAATTCATAAAATGTTGTTAAGTAACTGTATTCCTTTTATTGATTTTAAAGTTTTTGTCAAGTAAGCCATATAGCTAGTATGTATAACTTCACGATTGCGACCTAAGTTCTTGGGGAGACAAGCCTAGATTCATATTGACAAGGGCTATTTTTCTATCAATTTGTCTGAATCAACAAGAAAGTGCATTATATGCCCATGCAATTTATGAAAAAAAAAGCAAGGTCAGGTAAAGATAGAAGGGTAAAGTAGCTCCCGCGAGAAAAGAAAACAGGCAAAGAGTAATTAGCTAGTGATATGGACATACGAGATTTTTTCTTGCATGTTGCAGACTACATTTCATATAAAGCTGCTGGAAATGAAAACTCTAAAGAAACAGGAAAGAATTGAAGATCATCGGATTTTGTTGAATAGGGTAATGCTTCTTGAACAGAGAACAGCTTACATTTACAGATCTTCAGACACGGTTTTGTTGAATAGGTCAATAGAAGAGCAGGATGGTTGAAAGATTTAGATAAGATCCAAGTTTTTGATGTTTGCAATCTGAGAAACCTTTAAATCTTGTGAGGAACATAAGCTTCTACGATGCCAAGCACGCATTTGGTTTGTACCGAAACAACAAAACCCAATCCACAAAAACATTTAAAAAATTTATGAAACATGATATTCACTATGACAGCTAATATTCAGGTTCAATGAGACATAGCTACAATTTTACAGCTACACAAAGCTGTAATTGGCGCTACACTCTTAGCTAGATTCTGCTTCGAATCAAAAAGTGGCATTGCAAAGCAATACATCTAACGAAACAGCTCTTTAACATGTCAGAAATCATTGCATATCGTAAGTTTGAGAATATGTTTGGCCTGAGAATTTAAGATTCATTTCAAGAACCAAAAAAGTACCCCAAAGGACTGTACTGGATTATTGAGATTTCCGTGCGAAAAGGATACTCCAATCGTATTCTTCTCCCTTTCTTCGATATAAAACATATAAAATGTCCTCAGGGGTGTGACACATTTTCCATTTCACAAAAGGACCGGACAAAGACCATACCCATGATTTACACGGCGGCAGAGCTAAAGGCTAAGTGTTCTTTAGTTCATTTACTTCGTCATAATACCGATCGATAAAATCACTCGATAAGCCAAATTAGATTGCCATTGTACCGTTGGAAGTTGGTCTACTAAAGACATAGAGTGTATACTTGATCCTCCTTGGGAACCAGGCCTTTTGCGCCTTATCTCAAGAATTAAACCCAACCTGATTCAAATCAGCCAACACTTAATATATGCTTCTTGAAAGGACTAATCTTATAAGATTCAAGTATGCACACACAAAGAATTCACACCTATCGGCAAATCTGTGGTTGGCAAATCTTTGAGGGTTCAATTAGGTAAGGCCTAAAGTTCAAATATGTCCACATCTACCAGTGAATTGAATTTTAATCATATCAACACGATACAATATTCAAATAATAAATAGATTTTGGAAATGATAGAGTAAGCTTACATACCGTTATTTCTCCTTTCTTTTTATAATATTTTTCTCCCAACTTTTTCGTGATAACCTTGACAATAATTCCCTGGGATGAAATAAACTTTTATTAGTGTCGCTAAAAGAAAATCCAACAAGAAAGCGTCGAAACCAATTATTTCTACAACTTGACCATGACGACAACGACCAGCAAAGGGAAGTTAGAGAGATCGATCATCAATTAAGGTTGTCCTGGTGGATCCTTAAGAACAACAAATAGATCAACTTTGATACAATGACAATCCTTCAATGCCTGCCAAAAGTCTTGGAACACTGACATCAATTTCCAAGGTCAAAACCAATCATCCCCCTCTCCCCCACGGAACAATGTTGGTTTACTATCAAACGGATTAGGATTTTAGGAAGCACTTTCTTTTGCGCTTCTTTTATGATATTTCTCTAAATCATCAACATTGTTTGAGGGGAAAGGGGGCGGAAGTAGCAAATTTTTTTCATGAAAGGAATGAAAGATATCAAATGCAGCGTAAATTGGTGGGTGTTCCAAGTACTTTTGGCAGGCATTGTTACTTTTCAGAACAATGGGGTGACTTGCTATGGTGAACTAGAATCATCACGGTGAACATTTGGATGACAGTCCAGGTATCTTTCATCATCATCAGGTACCATCTTCTATCAAAAAGTTGGCTACCATGACCCTCTAACTATCCCAAAATCTGAGTTTGGTTTGTTGTCATGGTCATAGATAGGTATCTTTCAGGGTCAAGATTTATTCAAACTTCACCGACAGGCTCACACTATCAAAGCATCTATTAACATGTGAGACTGTCAAGCTATCGAGAGAGGGGTAGCTGGGCATTGCAAAATCAAGGTGTTTTTATATGTGATGCTACGTGTCCAGTGTCTATCTCAAATTTCATACCGGGACATTTGCGGTTTTGGTACATTTTAATACATTTCCCTGCACTAATTGGTATTTTGGTTGACAGGCTCTCAATTTCAGAAAATAATTAAATGACATTGATAGGTCAGCTTCTCCATTCGCACCGCTCTGATAAATCCGAATTACAGGTAACAGCGCAGCTAATCTGCTTCTTGGCGAAATAATCGCAAAATCGCCAGTTACTTCACCCCGTGGCAACTGCACAAATTATGAGAGAAAGCCAGGCTAAATATACACTTTTTTATAAAAATCATTAAATTGAAGTTCAGAGAGGCTGTTCTTACTTTTTTCGAAACTTTGAGGGGCTCGGTTGTTCTTTATTTGTTCCTACACTTTTAGGGTGTATGCAGTGCAATTGCTAGCTAGTGTGCTCTAGGGGGGTGTTAAAGTCCACCTGCCAACAAAGTGAGTGAGTGATACATCCTCTGTTTGCCAAAAAGTTTGAAAGTCACCAAATTAGATGACAAAAACCTCCTCGTTTTTGGAGATGAACAATTTTTAGGGGGGTTTCACAACTTTGTTTCAAATGAAATCTTACAGTAGCTCAGCCACAGCTTGCTCTTCCTTTGTTTTTAATTTTTGGCCAATTTCGAGGCTCGTTTTCTTATAAAATTATTCTTTATAAAAAAACTGAGGTAAAATTTTTCTCATAAAAAGAGTGTATTTTGTTAGAAAAGGTGACCAAAAAATCATTGACTTCGTGTCGTCATATTTGCCTCTGATCTCTGTGGAAATCTTTAAATAAACATCAGCAAAATGCTTTTATTTTTCATGATTCTGTAAACTCGGATCAAGATTCTTTAAGCGAAGAAATAGTTGTCAAGTTATATGAGGTCTCAAATGTTAAACGATTGGCTACTCGAAACAAAACGACTTCTTCTGGAGCCGTTGGCCAAGTGTTGTGTACTTGTATGGCTGATCAAAACAGTGAACAGATCTGAGTCTTGTAAACATAGGCTGACCTACAACACACATTAGATCACTAGACGATGCAATACATAAAAGAACGCTATACAAATCAGAACCCTTGAGAAACGCATTTTCTCAACTAGGTAATGTTATTCCTACCGAACTAAGATAAAATTTTCTCTCATATCCATTAAGTGCTCCCCATATTCCATTTTTTGATGACAAATTTTGCTTCCGTGCTTCATTTATTTCTCGTTTTTCATTGTTTCAAATAGCAATAATCTCTTGTTTGTGTCTGCTTGCAACAAGCAGCTAGTGACAGTGAAAAAGAGTAAAAACAGAATGATAAACAAGTGATGGATATTCGTTCATACCTTTGTAATCCAGTTTTCATGCCTTTTTATTTTAGAAGTCTTTGCTTTCTGTTCCTTAAAATAAAATGATAGAAATCAGTAAATCAAGGGAGATTTAGTTTTACTCAAGACACGATTCACGACAAAGAGCAATCATCAAATAGAAAATGAGAATTCACAAATCAAAACTTGCCTCGACGATTTCTTCTAGCGCAGATTTTCTTTTTTGACTTGGCTTACTGCAGAATAAGAACCAAGTTAGTCAAATACCGAGAGGTTAACTTTTGCTTACATACCCTGACACAGTCAAGCAAATAGCTTATTTCTGCACAGTATACAAAATGCACCAAAGTTCGTAGATAAGGGTTCATAGGAAAAAATCCCCTCCGAAACGAAACTAAATGTCTAGAAATGCGAAATTCGAAAATCAGCTTCTTGATTTAATTTTAAACAAATCTCAGTGAATCAACTGTATTTATTTCAAAATAACAACTGGAAATACCGTCGGGAGGATTGCCAATTTAGGAGGAAAGACTCCTTTAAAGGTTGTAGGGGTAAATTCGGTTAAAATACCATTTTGAAAAGGGATATAAAAAATTAGAGGTCACAAAAATCTGATTTACAATTCAGGGTAAAATTCAAGCAATCATGATGATTGGCTGAAGCGTAAAATATACCCAAGTGCACCAGCTGTATCATAAACATCGTTAGTTTATGTTCACTGCTTAGTTTATGTAAAGAGAACACAAAAGAAAATATTTTCGACATACATTGATTAGCAAAAGAATCAGTGATGGTAGCATATAAATTGAGAAATAATAACTGACAATCTTGTGGAGCATCTAGGCATATAAATTTACGAAGCAGTTGTGAATAAAAACGGAAGCTATCGATTCACCTTTGCGAATAAGTTTATTAATTGTTAAAAAATTTGTCTTCCATTCCAAATCAATCTTATGCAAAAATCTATCATGTTATTACTTGAAATATGCAGATAAAATGAAAATGAAAATAGGCCTATACATTCAAGCTTCAGAAGTCTTACAAGCAACTATAAAAAAAGAAGTCAATGCAAACCTTCGACTTGCTTTTGAGGAAGAAGAAGGAGAAGAGGAAGCTGAGGGGAACACTTGGGGTTTTGCTTTGCCAAGGTCACTCAAGGGATTTGCACCAGCCGCAGCTATTGCCTGTCTGAGAGAGTGCAAAGAATTTGTACATCAATCACAGTAGAATTGAAAACCAATACAATCACAAGTGCCTTTGCATCACAAGCTATGTTTTTGAACATTTTCACAGTCTGGCTGAAGAAAATTCTTGAAAAGAAGTTATCACAATAATTTCTTCAAATTTTCGTTATATCAAGTATGGTAGAAGGAAATCGAATCTTCTCTTTAAAAGGAAACACAATTGTTAATTTTGTATGCCCCTTGAATCTTTTAGGATTTTAGGCTAAATGAATTCCCTTAGGATTGTGGCAACGTCGGTGTACAACAAAGTCGTTGGAAGTTATACAAAACTTACTTTTCAGTTGACTCGTTGCTCACTGAAGAGGTCGCCCTTGAAAAGTTCAGGGAAACTAAAATTGCATGAAAAAATGCAAAAGAAAATGATTTGTTGATATGGAATTATTCTTCACAACGAAAATAATGAAAGTAAAACATTGATTTAGAATCAATAGGGATATTGGTTACTATGAGAAATGATTATTAATTGTTTTTATTGATAACGATGCTGATGATGTTGGTTACTATAAGAAATGATTGTTGTTTATTAATATTGATAATGATGTTGATGATATTGATTACTGTGAGAAATGATTGTTGATTATTATCACTGATAACGATGCTGATGATATTGGTTACTGTGAGAAACATATTGATTATTATTATTGATGACGATGTTGATGATATTGGTTACTGTGAGAAACATATTGATTATTATTATTGATAATGATGTTGATGATATTGATTACTGTGAGAAATATTGTTGATTATTATTATTGATAATGATGTTGATGATATTGGTTACTGTGAGAAATATTGTTGATTATTATTATTGATAATGATGTTGATGATATTGGTTAATGTGAGAAACATATTGATTATTATTATTGATGACGATGTTGATGATATTGGTTACTGTGAGAAACATTGTTGATTATTATTATTGATAATGATGATGATGATATTGGTTACTGTGAGAAACATTGTTGATTATTATTATTGATAACGATGTTGATGATATTGGTTACTGTGAGAAACATTGTTGGTTATTATTATTGATAATGATGTTGATGATATTGGTTACTGTGAGAAACATTGTTGATTATTATTATTGATAACGATGTTGATGATATTGGTTACTGTGAGAAACATTGTTGGTTATTATTATTGATAATGATGTTGATGATATTGGTTACTGTGAGAAACATTGTTGATTATTATTATTGATAACGATGTTGATGATATTGGTTACTGTGAGAAACATTGTTGGTTATTATTATTGATAATGATGTTGATGATATTGGTTACTGTGAGAAACATTGTTGATTATTATTATTGATAACGATGTTGATGATATTGGTTACTGTGAGAAACATTGTTGGTTATTATTATTGATAATGATGTTGATGATATTGGTTACTGTGAGAAACATTGTTGATTATTATTATTGATAACGATGTTGATGATATTGGTTACTGTGAGAAACATTGTTGGTTATTATTATTGATAATGATGTTGATGATATTGGTTACTGTGAGAAACATTGTTGATTATTATTATTGATAATGATGTTGATGATATTGGTTACTGTGAGAAACATTGTTGATTATTATTATTGATAAAGATGTTGATGATATTGGTTACTGTGAGAAACATTGTTGATTATTATTATTGATAATGATGTTGATGATATTGGTTACTGTGGGAAACATTGTTGATTATTATTATTGATAAAGATGTTGATGATAATGGTTACTGTGAGAAACATTGTTGATTATTATTATTGATAATGATGTTGATGATATTGGTTACTGTGAGAAACATTGTTGATTATTATCATTGATAATGATGTTGATGATATTGATTACTGTGAGAAACATTGTTGATTATTATTATTGATAATGATGTTGATGATGAATCAATAATAGCTACTACAACTCACTGATGTCAAGGGCATTCAAACAGCTGTCATTTTCAAAAACTTTTCAACTGTTCTCATGAAAAAGACAGCGACCATAAACATCTCATTCATATATGTTGAAAAACGTTTGAGACGCAGTACGTAGAGGCTCAAAAGTAGATTTTATCACATTTATCTTCCTTTGCATGTGATGAAATAATTGAATCTCATTAAAAAGAGAATATGCTTAGCTGCCCTCTTAGACTGATAAATTGACGAAAACTGTCTGGACAATATTCATAAACAAAGGTACATATATTGTGAAAAACAACTGAGCAAAATATAAAAACACCATATTTTCCAATGTCAAAGGAATGCGAAGATCCAATGAAAATGTTGCCGAGATAAGAAAGACGAATTACTTGCATAGCGCTTACTGTTAAAACTTGCTTTCAAGAGGCACACATCCTGGCTTTTAAATCAGACGAATTAATGTTGATTATCCAGGAACGTAAAAGAGCCGAAGCTTTGAAAAACACTACATCATCATAATTTTCATCTGCACTGAGCATTACAAACCACAGTTGAAAAAAGCCTTATTACCAACCATGTGAGGCGGCAACAACGTGGCTCTCTAAGGTACTTGGGCATCATGGAACTTTGATTGTTCACAGAATCAGCAGTTTTGTGCGCTAAGCTTAAGCCAAGTTAAAACCATCCCCCCTTTAATATTTTAGTTTGTTAGTTCTTTGCACATGATCTATAACACGAATCTCTTCTTTTCCAACTAAACACAGTTGCTTGGATTCAAACTTTCAATCTCACCTTTCTCTTCTTCATTCAACCTCTGAAGCTCTGTAAACTCGCTTTTTGGCTAAAATTTGAAATCAAGAATGCGATCGAGAAAAAAAGGCTTCGAAACAAAAAAATATTATCTCAACTAGCAATCTTAACTTCCAGCTATGGAGGAAATAATGTCTTGACAACCCATTTTTTGGTTCGAGTGCATTATAATAAATTGTGCTTTGGTGTATAGAACCTGACAGTTCTACTAGGTTCCAACTTAGAGCCGTCATGTTCTACCCACCCAAACGTGGCATCGAACCGATCGGTACAACACTACTGATTTTCACAATTTATGATTATTAGCTTATTTCTGATGATCCCTGGAAGCCAAGACAACCAAATCAACCCTTTTACTGCAAAAATTTACCAAAAAATCTGATAAAATAAAAAACTAGAAAAATGATAAGGATTTTTCTTGAGTCAGACTTAACTTTTCGACGGGTCCTGTGTTTTAAATAGAAACAGATTTTTTGGCCAGTTACTAGACAGTTAACTGCGCAAAGGATCCCCGAACAATTGCACAACAAAAGGCAACTGTAGCTTCCAGAATAAAACAACATAATTCAAAGGAAACAGAGAAAGGTTCCCTTTACATTACACTTTCTTGAATTCTCAACATCTTAGAAATTAGAAATTAGAAATTTTAATAAATCTAAATATTAAGATTGGATTACGATTTAGAAAAATTTCGGCTCTACTGCCTTGGATTCCAAGCAAAAAAATGTGTGTATCTTCAGAATATTCGTTGGAAGCTTTAAACAATAAATTAACCAGTACATTCCCAATTTTCTAGTACTGCACACGTAAAATACTTGTTTCTTTTTTCAGTTACTTGTTTCAAGCTGTCTCAAAAAGTCAGGCGTTGCAGAAAAAAAGCGAAAGATCTAAGTACGGATATAAAATCAATGAATTCAATATTCCTGGATCCATCCTCTGCCAGATTATTCCACAAATGGGTTGTTTATAGGTCCTTATCTCAATCTGCTTTGGATATTAATATTTTTGTCCCTAATATGCTTGTAACCGAACCCATTATGGCCTTTGGTGAAATTAATTCTGTCGTTATCAGTCAATAAAGCAGGGTTTTAGCATTCAATATTCCAAATTTGTCGACATACAGGTGAAACGCAGGTGGTTCTTAGAACGATCCAGGAACATTGTGGTTATGTAATCTATCTCCAGTCAGGGAAAATCAGTTTTTTCAACAGATGCATTAGTGAAAGAAATAATGCATCAGACAAGGTACTCCTTCGTGAGCACGTGATGTTTCAGGACATAAAAACAAGCTTTTATTCGGGAAACAGAAATAGAGGGGACCATTCATTTTATGAGACTTTATTCTCTTGTGTCTGTACACGACACAAATAGTGAAGTATCATTGATAAGCTTAATTACACTAAAATCCTGATGAGATTGAAAACACCAAATTTCATATGTTGACCATCGTAAATAAGGAGTTGAAACGGTCGTTCATTGATACTTCCATTAAAATGACGATAAGAGCGGCAAAAATGCCTTTCTGAGCACAATAACTTTAATTTATAGCAGACAAATGTAATTCATATTTTACCAATTTTAGGTACTTTCAATTTTTTGCCCACGTCTAAAAATGGGTCATTTAGATATGACCCAGTCTGGAAATTACTAGTATTACTGTCTGGAAAAGCATTACTGGTTTAAGCTGAATTTTTTGCAAACTTCTTCGTTAAATCTTAAATTTTCCAAAAATAACGCTTGGATGATAGAGCTCTCTAGGAATCTAATGATACCGAGGAATCACAAGAAACCGTTACCGAAAAAATGCATTTAAATATAAAATATAATATACACCTAACGTTTCTCAATAAATAAATCTCAGTTTACATTTTTAGAGGCTTACCTTTTCTGTTTCTTTCTCCTTCGCTTTCTCGATTTGTTTTTCGAGAAATTTCGCTGCGAAAAAAGAATTATTTTTAAAACTGTCATTCATTTTTAAGTAAAAAAACAATAAAAAACGCGTTTGACCTCGCGGGGTCTTCTCTCATCCGGCGTATGACAGTAAGGCTCTGCTTAAAAGAAACTCAAATTTCCATAACAGGCTTTCTAGTTTTCAATATAAAGGAAAGCAATTTTGAATGAGGCTGACTGAATTGTTATATGTCCAATTCTGATTATCAATAGGCAAGCGGCACTGATTTGTCAACCTCGACAGTCATGTGCTCGTTTTTCTGATTGGCCTATTTCGATCCACAACTGGGTATATATATTTCCTAGCGTAGAACTTTGGATCTATGTTCTGACGTTTTAAACTTTGAAGAGTGTCTCCGAAAAGCTTTAGCTTACTCAAATGTTTGCTTTTTTCAAAGCCATTTTCAAGTTTGTCAAGTTTGTACCACCAAAAGATTGTTTATATGTCCATTTAGAAACTCTTTATTCATAATACTGCATAGTAAACAAACACGGCTACCCCAAGAAATGAATTAGGATTAATTAGGTATGAATTACTATTTTATATGAACTTCAATTCAAATTTTTAAGAAATTGGAGAAAACCCGGCAGTCTTGTTTTCTCTGTTGGAGAAAAAAGTCTCAATGCTGGTGGGCTGCAGTTTCTTTTATGTCCAATTCTTTTATTTGGGACATATTGCAACTCAACAAAGCAGAGTGACAAGAGTAAACCACAAATGAAATAATATGGAATAGTATACTTCCCCTAGCCTATGCTATCTGTATCTTATAATAACAATCTTTTAAAAGAAAATTACATTGACCAATTTAGATAATTTCTTTTGTATATTTAGAACTTCTCGGTCGCTCGTCAAGATCGCACAGCAAATATGGAAAACCCAAATTGAAAGAAAAGAGAGAAAAACCTTGCTTATTGATGGAAAAAAACGATGTTAGAGATACTAAAGCTACCGAGCCAACCAATAATGGGATTAATTAGGTTTGGAATACAGTATGAAATGTTATTTATATTTGACATTTGGTTAATTTTTTTTCAATTTTGCCCAATTTATAAGTAAATGGGGAAAAACCAGGCTGCCTTGTTTCCTTTAACAGAGCAATTTTATTTCTTTTATGTAGGGAAATAATGTAACGAGCATCGGTAATAAGACTGTAAACGAAAGACTTTTGAATTGGTATTCTTATTCACATAATTTTTATTCATTTGAAATAAATTCAAGAGTCTCCTTCCACTGGCTGCTTTAAAGAGGCCCTCTAGCTCAAGAAATGCATGCAGTTACTATAAAAGGTTTTAGCTAATAGCAAAAATGAACTAAAAAGAAATTCTATCAACTAAAACACGATATTTTTATCTCATTTGAAAAGCTATTCCATATTCCACATTTTAGCTCCTCTGAAAAATGACTTTCTGTTCTTGCATAATTTATATCACAGGCAATCTAACATACGTTGCTTTAATCCTTAACCAAATTCAAATTCATGAAATTCAGCAAACATATTTACAACTTAACGAATACATGTTAACCAAAGGTATATTAATAAAAAATACTAAGCTAAAGATTGATGAATGCAATATGATCTATCTACTCAAGTTTGCAGTAAGCTGCCGAGAATACTGAGAGAACAAAAAAGAATTCGAGCCCAGTGCCCTGATACTTAGATTATGATTGGTTTTGGTGCAGACTACTTTACGAGTCTTTCAACTGGAAATTCATTGGTTTTAAGATGAAATTATGTAAACAGTATATTCTCAGAATAAAGCAAACAGTAAGAAAAATAACTCAAGTATGAAAGCACCATTCATTTACTTGAAAGTAAATGCATCAAATCCGTCTAGTTAAAAAAATTTAATTCTATTACTAACAAAGATATTTTAAGCAAATGCTCACTAGGAGCATCAAAGTAGTTATCTCTCAAAATTTAGACTTTTTGATTCAGAAAATAAATTCAAGAATAAATGATATATTTTACTGTATTTTTGAATTGTTTGATTTTAACATATACTTCTATTTGGAATCGATGTCACCCCCAAGAAATGTACAACTATGAATAGCCTTACCCATCCGTTCATCATCATCCATGTCCATCTTTTCTTTTTTGGCAGCAGACTGCAAAGAAAGGATTGCATGTTAATGACAATAAATTGATAATGTTACACCGAAGATATTCAAGAATTGTGATCTTACAATTCTATGGTAGACAGATTTTGATAGATATGTCAATCTAAGTAAGAGAATAAACGTTATTAAATCAATACCTACAGACAGTTCATACAGGTAAAGGAGGCTGGGAGGGGAGAGAGGCTAAGCACTAAATGAAAAATAGATCAACTTCGTTTAAACAATGCTGGCAAGGAAAGGAAATTTTACTGTAAGCAGGTATCATTTTCAGGGTGTGGGAGGAAGCTGTAAGAAACCCTGAAACCAACGATAATTTCTCTCCATAGCCATGTCATTATTTTATACATAATTTTTCCGCTTTTCAAGTGTAAGAAGGTACCGCCTGTGCATCACTCTTCAAGAATTGCCAGGGACTGATTGTCAGCTCAATTTGACTATTTACATGATTTCAGTGTCATTAATCACGCTGTTTTATTGTCAACAAAGATTATGACAAAAATATAACTAAATTTTCCAAGCTTTCAAGAAGGGTCTCACCAAAAAAACTCATCCTCACAATGACACATTCTTGATACTGGGTGAACAGACGCCCTCTCCCAAAAGAAAATACAGGCTTTTGGTGTAGAGAACAGGACGGCTCTAAGTTGTTACTTCGGGTTTCACGCACAATGTGATCAACAAGCAACTCTTAAAACTACTCTTTCTAGGGACGTTATCATATTTAGCTGTTATGTCCCTGGCAGTATCAGGGATAAAATCCAAGCACTTTGTGGCAGACTGTTTTACAGTAATTTTCATTACAATGAAATTACTAACGTTAAGTTTCACTTATACCGTTGAGAAAGCATCATTTTGTATCCTTTTAATTATTCCTAGGTAATGCTGAGTTACTCAAATACTGGTCTTTCACCCCCTTCCCAAACAAGCGTTTGCGAGCCCTAACCATTAACAGTTTTTCCAGCAAAAAAAATTATCCTTTGTTGTTAAAATGATTGATTGATTGGAATGAATGACGTTGTATTGCTTGTTGAACGTTAATGAAAATGTTGGTCATTACCTCTTGCCTCTTGATTGCCTCTGGGTCTCTATCGACGTATGTGATGTACCAGCCTTTTGGGGTTTCATCAACAACGCAATGACCTGGCAAAAAACGAGTAAAGAATTGGCAAAATTTTTAAGGAGTGTATTTTATCAAAGTATGCGTTTAAACAGAGTACCAACTGAATGTGATAGACGGCCCATTTTTCGAAAAAATCACAAAATTCTCTAGATTGATCTCTCTACTGTACGTTAATTCTGCAAAGAACTTTTCTTTTCCATTTCCTTAAACCCCAGATGGATCAAACCTATCAATACTTACTGCCCCTACCTTATAACAGAAAATCTATTACACTATTTGACTTAAATCTGATAATGAAGTATTCGTTTTCTTTAAAAAATTTAAACGTCTAACAGCTTATATAGAAAAAATAAAAAAGTGAGTATAAATTATTAAATCTAGATTAACAGATATTGTAGTTATGTACCTTCTCTCCCAAGCCACTTCACCAATTCTGTTAGTGTCTCCCACTACAAAAGAAACAGAAACTACACATAGCAAATACTGGCAGGATATTAAGAAAAAGACAGAAAAATATGATGCTTATTCTCAGATAGAGAAATTAGAATACAAGAAAAAAACAGAATAAGAAAACCAAACTATCATTGCCAATTTTTATTTTCTTACTCTTTCGATTCCTTACAGACCCTTTATCTTATCCTTATGAATTTTATCAGTCCTTATTGTATTGGAACGTCAAATCTCAATGTTCATTTGAAAAAGATCAGAAAGATGCAACATAAAAGAAAAAAAATTCACAAAATCAAAATAAGTCAGAACCTGTGTTGAGTTCATGTGTGTATGAAGTTTGTCAGCAATATACTCCTGATAGACAATATTACAATGGACTCTTTTTGTACCTGAAAGGAATAGAATAACTATTTTCAATAAACATCCAAGCTATTTTGGCTTCTGGCAGTGAATAGTCTTAGGTGCCAACTTTAAATTCAAGACATACATGCTGCTTTATGCATATCATAGGAGACCATCCTTTGATAGATTTAGACAGACTTGTGTCATGACATTTTGTTACCAAATCTGACTAGTGTTTGATGAAACACACATAAGGAAAAAGATGCTACATTGCAATGGAGCTATTATGAGAGACAGCATTAATCAAAAGGAGCATGTAGCTAGTTACTTCTTCATGGAATCTTCATGCTTCCTACAATCTTGGACAGACTCTGTTCCAATTTCACATCTCTTCTCCTAGTTCAATGTTTATATCTCTACTATCTATATATGGAAACCTCTTCTGCAAACTCATAGTTTGGAGTAAATCATGTTTCTAGATTTTTTAGACATCTAGTACATAAAGTTATTCCCTAGTTACTTTAAACCCTCTCCCATTGTACAAATACCAAATACTTTAGATTTTTGTTTATCTTTTTGCTTTCTTTTACATTCCAGGTACAGTAAGTTAAGCGTCTATATCAAGTTAAAATATCTGTTCGGTGAAAAATATCTTACAAAGGAGGTGGGGCAGAAGAGTTCATAACAACAGCTGGGTTCAGAAAAGTAGATTTGCAATGCAACACCAGGATCTGTGCCACCAACTTAAAATTTAGGGGCCAGCAATGAAAGAATCGTTTTATCACCTCTAGCCCAGGTTGTTGTTAAAATTATCCTGACACTGTTCTAAGGTTTTGTTTTAATGTATTGATTTAAAATAAGAAGGGCACCTTTATGAAAATTTGGGCTAATTTGCATTTCTGTTAGCAAAAAGTGGTAGACATGGTCCATTGGCCTCCTACAGATCCTTAATACATTATCAGTGATTAGCAAACTGAAAAAGTGAACAAATATGTTGCTCTCAATGGGTTTTCCTGTTTAATAATTTCTGTAGAAAATGATTGATTGCTTAAGCATGCAAAGAGTGAGCAAACTTAAGCATAATATCCATTAAAGCGAAACTCAGTGAAAGCAAGCGACCAGCAAACAGAGAGCATGCGTACATGGTCGCTGCGCTTTGCTCAGTAGTTCAGTTTGGTTGAACTTTTCAGCGATCGCCAGTGAAAAGTTACGTAATTATATGCAGATTGCAAGATGGCAAGCTTTGAACAGTTGTTGTCTCAGGCAGATTAAGGCCGATCTGTGAACACAATAAAGCAAATGTGAAACGATGGAAATGATGGATCTCATATTCTAAATGATAGAAGAAAATATCGAAAGAAGAACTCATGATCGTAAAGTTTCATCTCCAAAATGAGGTGATGAAATTCGTCTTTCTTTTAACGTTCACAAAATAGCTTTATCGGTTTCTGGAATCTATATTTACAACTTTCTCTCTGTCTTAAAGCTAAAAAGAACGCAAAACGCTGTCTATCCGCAATGTGTGTTGCTGATCAAGTGCACCCATAGTTAATAGAGGAGAACTCTGGTTATGAAACTTCAAAAGAACATGACCGTGATCAAGTCTTCGCATTGAAGCGATTAGGCTCGGTAGGACTTTTCGTGAAAGTTTGGATGTGCTGTTGATAAAAAGATCGTCTCGCCTTAGGTTTACGTCAATATTCCAGGAGATAATTGCTCGGTGTATGGTTGTGGAAAATCTCTGAGATCTAAAGGAATCGGGATCTTTAAAGTCTCAAATTGTCCTTCGTACCAGGAGTGGCAGGCTGCATGGCTGAATGAACTGAAAAGGCACAGGTAACTGGATGCAAATTTTAAAAGGCAAATAGAACAGGACACAGCTCACACCTGCGAAGAACACTTCCACCCACATGAGATAGAAGTTTGAAAATGTTTTTCTTATATTATTATGTTTTATTTTATATTTATTGACCGCTTATCCTAAAGGGATAATACGATGTTCTTCGTTAGGCCAAACTGAGTTTATCGATATATTTGATCTTCCACTTCATTTAAGACGTAGTTATTTTCTTCGATTATTTCAAGTGGCTATACTAACACATAAAAACGTTGCAAAGAAAAGAAAACATTTTTCTCAAAATAATAACTGTGCATGTATCCTCTTGAAAGGAAACCAGCGCATTTTATCTACTTAGGCCCGACGAGCTTCGGGGTAGGGTCATGTCATCGGTTATCGATGTAGTGTAGCAGCGTAAGAATGATTATTTAGGTATTATTCATGTCTTTCTCGTTACCTTAAGCTGTTGGAACAAAAATCACAACCAGGTTTCCATAGTTTGAAGCATTGCCAACTCTAAAGATGCCACAAAAGAGTCGCGAAACCCCAAAACCAAGAGAAAGAGAAGCAAGAACCATCGCGAAAGACCATGTTGCTGTAGCAAAACATTAATATAAAGATTTTTAAGATGTCGTCAGTAGAGTTTCAAGCCTAAAGGCTTTGGAGGGCTGGTCTGTAAACATTAAAGAAGATCGCATTATTTTGAAAAAATCGAGGCGAGGAATTTACACTCATCCCCAAATATGAAATCGCAGTTGATGTTGGCTTGGCATTCTATATATCAGTCTATGGCCGGTTTTTGCCGGAAAACCATCCTATTTACACACAGAATTATCGGTCACTGCGCAACATTTTCATATCAAACCTGATTAAAGATAAAGAGGGTTATCCAATTTGCAACGCAATTTTGCCGATAGATGATTTGGGTAATGTGGTGAATCATGTGATACCAACTTATCTAGTTCCATTATCTATGGATGAAAGCTCTAAGCAGTATGCAAGAAAAGAGTACTGGCGCTCCATCTTGTGCAGTATCATTTCTCCAGGTGAGCAATGTTTACCATGTGCACAGCAAGCTGCAAAAGCAAATAAACCACATGAAATAAGGGCAAAGAATCTTGCAAAGCCTGCACATCCAAATGCACCAGTGTCAAAGACAGCACCTGAGAGAATAAAACTGACACTTCAGGAACAAAGACTGAGATGTGCAGAACTTGAGAGGCAAATAGAGGAAATGAAAATTGAAATTGTACCAGTGTACCAGTAGAGTTGAGTGATGACTTTGTTAAAATTCTGAACAATTCTGAGAAGAGTTTATCTCAATTTATGACATTATTCTGGCAGCAGCAAAAGAAGCTTTTTCGCAGAAGCAGAAATGGAGTACGATATCATCCAATGTTGATTCGATTCTATCTTTCTTTGGCTGCGAAATCTCCTTCTTGTTATGAAGAGCTTCGTCAAAGTAATGTCTTGGTGTTGCCAAGTCAAAGGCGCTTGAAAGACTATAGGAACTGGATACGTCCAAAGCCAGGTTTCCGTGAGAAAGTCATCTGTACTTTAATTAAAGAGACAGAAAAATATTTTGCAGTACAAAGATTTGAAGTCTTGCTTATGGATGAGATGAAAGTAATGGCTAAACTTGTTTTTGATAAAATCACAGGGAAACTTATTGGGTATGTTGACCTAGGTGACCCAGATACCAATTATGCTACTTTAGACAAAGCTGATGACATGGCATCACATGCGTTGGTTTTTTTCTATAAGAGGCATTTGCACTGAGCTTAAATTTAGCTTGGCTTACTTTGCAACAACCTCTGTCACTGCTGCACAAATGATGCCATTATTCTGGGATGCTGTTTGCATTCTTGAGGATACATACCAATTGATAGTCATTGAAGCTACTGCTGATGGTGCATCTCAAAACAGAAACTTTTTAATATGCACAAAAGTCTTGATGCTAATGCGGAACAGGGTGTTTGCTATCGCACAACCAACTTATATGCTCCTGAGAGGTATATATATTTTTTCTCAGATGCACCACATCTATTTAAGATAGCACGAAACTGTTTTTACCATTCAGGATCAGGTTCTTGCACCCCCTATATGTGGAGTGATGGCCTTTATTTGTCATGGGAGCATATCGCCAATTTGTACCACAGTGATATTGATAATGGCCTGAAGCTTTTGTCACGTCTCTCCTATGACCACATCAAGCTAACCTCATATTCAGTTATGAGGGTTAGCCTGGCAGCCCAAATCTTAAGTGCATCAGTTTCTTCAGTGCTATACGAATAATGCAGCCATGCAGAATCAAGAACTGCAAAATTCTGTGAAATGTTCGATAAGTTTTTCGACTGTCTGAATGTACGTAGCAGAGAAAAGCACCTGCTCAAGAGAAAACCTTACCTTACACCATACACCATGGAAGATGATTTTAGATTCAACTAGCTTGAGAATGAATTTCTAGCCTACTTATCTTCGTGGAAAGATAGTGTGGATCATAGGCCTGGGCAGTTTACAGAAAATGGTAAGGCAAAAATGTTTCTATCAAGACAAACTTACGAGGGATTGCAAAAAACAACATATTCAGCGATCGAGGTCACCAAATATGTCAAGAAGTTGATTTTGTTTTGACAGAAAGGTTCTGTCAGGATCCAGTAGAGGAATACTTTGGCAACCAGCGAAAACTTTGTAGGAGGAATGCTAATCCTGACATTCGGCAGGTTGGGCGCAATGCAAATACAATTTGCACACAAAGGTCCATTTCATGTGAAAGTGGAAATACTAGAGGAAGGAAAGATAAATCCAGATCATGGTGGAATGTTTCTGATGACCCTGTGAGAGTGTTGCGGAGGAGAGGCGGAAGAAATGCGGTAGAGAGCGATTAGGGAAAATGGTTTTTTGTGAATAAGGGAGAGAAGACTCATTAGTGGGATAGGATTCGTTTTTGCAGTTTGTTATTATGGAAAATAAGTTTTGCGTATTTTGTGGAAATTGAAAAAGAAAGAGAAAAGAAATATAAATTCGAGTGTTATTATTGTGTAAACCCTCACCGCGCCACCTCACCGCGCCACAACCCAGTGCCCTGCCGAAAAATAAAACGCAGCTTCAATAAAAAGGTTGACTATAAGACATTATCTGTCTTAGTTTGTACTGAGCATAAACAGTTTTTCAATAAGTGTGAACACCCTTGCCGTTAAGCCACTAAGCATCGTTATTCTTACAATTCCTATAAACAGTATTATTCAAGCTTTACTTTTATTTAACTTCATTCTTCATGAATATTCTAGATGCTGGCAACATAGACTGTCATTTTCTCTTCCAGAGATGGTTTCACAGCCAAAATGTTCATTTAGAAATGATAACTAGTTGCTTTAAGGATCGTGTAATTCTTAAATAAATGGCAACCTAAGTAGTTGTCAGTCTGCCCTTGCAGGGCGACCAAGAGCAAGACTGTGCCCTGGGCCAAGCAATGGGTCAAGCTATAAGGTATCTCGGTGCCAAACTCTGAAATGAATTACCTTATAATATTAGAACGACTAACTCTAAACTTACTTTTAAATCAAAACTGAAAACGCATTTTCTAGAAAATTTATAACACTGGTCATCAAACAATCTCTCTTAATTCACAAAATTTCTAATCATTGTGCATTTGATTTGACCCAGTATTAAATTGGAATGAGCTCCATATTTTAGAACTATAGATCTGGTAGGGGGCTCTCTTCTCGTTAGTCTACCTACTTAGAGAGTTCCTCCTTAAGAAATTTCACACTTACAATTCAATATTTTTAATTTATTTTCTATCCAATTGCTCCCTTTTTTTATTCTTTAATTATATTAATTGTATTGTAATTTATTGCATTGTATTGTATGTGTGGAATTTTAAATAATGAAACTGAACTGAACTGAACTGAACCATAGTTCTTCTCTATTAACTATGGTGCACCTGAAGGCCCGAAAAATTAAGAGGGAAACATCTTTTCCTGCATTTGGCTAGCGATCGGAGGAGAGAATGGAGATTCAACTGCCAGCTGTTCGCTGGTGGCTGTGTGAAGCGATCGCCGGATTTCGCTTTAATGGAGATTGGCCTTTACAGGTTTCACTGTTGATAACTATTGTTAAACCAATTGTCTTAATAAGAAGAGATGTAAAGACCATGCCAAATGTAGACACACATAACTGAGTTAATTTCAGTTCAAAATCAGACTTAAAATAAATAACAATACATTTGAGGGAATACAGGCATGTTAATGTCACGATCCGTTATATTGAAAGTTTCAACATATACTTCGTTTCAACATATAGTAAAAAATTGCAAAAATGCTTACCCCACTGCCTTTTCAGAAGGTGCAAAAAGCTATCTAAAAATTCTCTAAAATGAAGAAAAAGAAACTAACTTTATTATTAGGTGAAAGGTCAATTCTTTATTTCTAAAAAATGCTCCTTGCAATGTCCAGAAAGCAAAAAATGCTAGATACATGCATTGAGTGATCAAAACATCTTTAGATCATGAGACAACAAAGGAAAAATAATCGAGATTGTGCCTTGAAATCTAAATTCTTACAATCAAAGATAAAATGAATGACATCATTTTTGGCAGCAACTTTGTGTGCATTGATATAGAGCTTAGCATTGATGGTGAGATCCTTTGATGGTAGGATTCTTTGCTGTTTCATGTTATCTTGTAAACAAATAAATATATATCTAACAAGCTACATGACTTACTTTGAAAAAGAATCTAAAAATTTATCTGGGTTGTCTGCAAATAGAAGTAGCTGTCGCTGGTGAGACTCTGACATGCAATGGCATTTGAACCCATTCTGTAAGCAAAACAATTTCAAATATTACATCAGAAAATATTACTAAAAAATCAAAATAGCTATATTCATAACACTGTAAACTTACATTTTTAAACAGTTTATCCAAATGGTAAGATCCAGCTTCCATTTTCATATCCAAAAAACACCAGAGGATCACATTAATCAATTGCAGAAGAAAACAATTAGAAATAAATGACAAAAAAATTACAAAAAATCTACATTCATTGATAGATAAAATGCCTTTACTTCAGAGTTATATGGCACTAGCAACAGAAACACCACAAAGTTGCTTAATTGGTGTGTCATGTTAAGCAATCTATCTAACATTTGCTATGGGCAAATTAAATATGGGCAAACTGTCAATCTTCACCTAGGCCCTCAAAGGTTCCATTGTCTTGCCTTAAAGCAGGAGAAACACATGACAACCTAAACTGTCCAGGCAAAAGACAACCAGGCTAGAGTTACACTTTACTGGATTGCTATTGGAGCTGAGCAGAGCAGAGTGGAGTAACTTTTACTCTTGAGTGATTTTTAGGTAGAAGGGACACTATTACTCTGCATCTTGCTAATACACTGCATTCCTCTGCATTTCTAATCTATATCGAGTGTGCTTTTGCAATCTTATCCCTAAAGTGCACCATATCTTATAACTAAGCGATCTTGACAAACCTATTTACTGCTATAAATCCATACTCAATAAAAACTATAAACAATTGCGAGAAAGAACCCTGAAAAGACGAAAGAGGTGAGACATTGCCATTAAATTTTCATTTTGCAGTTTTGAAGTGTGCTACATTCTATTTGTTGATATGTTGAAAAGGACAATCATTTTATTTATGTTCAAAAAGTATTAGAACACCTTCAAAATTTCAAAGACTTATTTCTACTTTCTTAGTAAATTTATGCAGAAAATGTTTGAAACATGAAATTCCAACAGGATATTGCTTATGTTTTGAATAATGTTGGGTATGTGAATAAATTCTAAAAATATAAAAGTTAAAAATTTTGGAGGCCTTAAAACCAGAGTATTCAAAAATTAAGAAATTCCTAATAAGAAACTTTTGAAAATTGTTTTTTAGTTAAATAGCTTGAAAAGTTATCAGAAAGTAATCCTGTTAGCTGCTCAAGGAATGAAGCTTAATGATGCATGCAAAACGCTTTTCCACACAAGAACAGTGAAAAAATCCACCTAGTGTTGATATACCAAAGGCATTTGCAATGACAAAAAGTCCCTTCTGCATGGATCACAAAGCAGTTGGTTTGAATCACTGAAAGGTATTTAAAGGAGATAACAATTTCAATATAAGCAATTTTGCGATATGTTTTTAAAAAAGCTTGAAAAACCATGAAAAATGTAAATATTCAAGCAACCTCAAAAAATATATGTTAATACCAAAATGATTGTTGCATTAACCTTTCCTTGTGTTCTGCAGTTAAAAATGCAGCTCAAGAAGGGGGCCTATTGTAGGGGGTGCAAAAGCAGCAAAACCATGCAAAAGGCAGCTAAAAACCACAATGGCAAAACCAGGCCGCTGTGGCAAAACACGTTGTGGCACAAAAAGCAAAATGCTCACATAAAGGTAAAAAGTAAACATTGCTAGAAGTAACAATATGAAGAGGTATTATGATTCTCACTCTTATTCACAGAACAAGCTATTGTGCCAGTCCAAACTTTCATTGTATCATTTCTTGCTGTAAAGCTGTAAACTGTTGCCAATTACACCAAAATACTCAAGATGCATCTTATGCTGAAGCAACAAACTATAGAAAACCCATTGCTAAATCCATAGGCTGCACATAGAAATAGGGTCTAGGCTATGAAGGTGCCCTCAGGTAATTGATTTGAATCAATGATATCAGAATGTTTGTTGTTGGTTCAACAAACTTGATCTGAATCTCAACAGTGTAATATAGTTATTTGTGTACAAATGTTTAAAATGCTATGCATATACATTTTTAAAACTATTGTGATTTGTTTCTTTATCTCTGAAAAATTTGACCATGACATTGCCATGCTAGGCAGTTCAACTAGTGATCTTACTTTGCTAAATATATGCAGTAGTTCGCGAGGTTCGTACGTTATTATGGTAATAACTCAAAAGTGTTTTTTATCAAATTACTTCTAAAGACAAAAACTACATGAAGAAAATACTGCAAGCATCTGACCAGTATTCTGTTGTGACACCTTATGTTAATGACATTACATGTGACATTACATACCACAAAATACGCTCAAAAACTTATATTACACACTAATCATACCCCATGTTAATTAATTATGGGCGTACGTGTTGGGGAAGTGCCTACTCCTCAAATTCAGAACCTATCCAAACCTCCCTATGCAAAGCAATGAGGACAATAACTTTGCAAAAAAAGCGATCATTCGGAACCAATCTTTGAAAAACTTAATTTGCTTGATTTTGATAATACATACAAATGCGAACTAGGAAAATTCATATTTGACATTAACTCAAAGAACATCCCTTCTCTCTTCAGTAGCCTGTTCACAAAAAGCAGTGATGTACACCATCACAATACTCTTCAGTCCTCTTTGGATTTGTTCTCCCTTCCTTTTGGTGCTACTGGCTATTGTCTCAAATTAATTTCTTATCAGGGTGTTAAATTCTGGAATTCTCTTCCTCTTGATTTGTGTAATAAAAAAACAAACACACGTTTAATAAGCACCTAAAGATATATCTCAAAAAAATTAACAGGCCTTCAAATAATCTTATGATCAAATTTTGAACTGCACTCCCCTTTTCTTTCGTTCTCTATTTTCTTTTCTTCTTCTTTCATTTTTTGTTTTTACTTTCTTTATAAGCTGTTTCCCTTTTTTATCTATTCTTGCTGTTTATGTTATTGGCACAACTTCACATTTTTGTTTTTCCTTGAATCTGTTTCATTAAATATATACAATGTAACCTGTAGAATCACAAAAGGGCGCGTACGTAGCTCAAGCTCTTCTGAGTTATTTCTACGTGTCCTTCAATATTACATCTTTCCTTGCTGACAATTTCATGTAACATATGCTTTTTAAATCTTTAAATCGTTTATGTTAGCACTATCGTATCACTTGTAATTATTTAAAAGATACTGACAATAAAATGTTGAAGTTGAAGTGAGTGCTGAAGCGCATTGAAAACATACACTACCTCATCTCTGCATTGCTTTTGACACATCTGACAAAACCATCGCAGTTTTTGCAAACCTTTTGACTTGATACGGTTTGCTATAGCCTTTGGCGTGAGAAATCCACCCTTTTCTTTGCCCATCTTCGTAAAAATTTACAATAATTTCACTTATCTACTAGAATAACAAAATTGAAATCGGTGTTGTGTTTGAATGAGCTGCCATGTTAGCCTCGTATTACTCACTTGTAGGAAAGAGGCTTGTTCAATAGAGCTTTCATTTAAAAAGTTTTTTCTTAGAATCTGGGGGAAGGAATAAACAACATTTTTGGAAAATGAGAGCTTCGCTCACTAGATTTATACAAAGTTTTAAAAGCTATAAACCTCCTAAGAATCAAGCTATTGGCTTTGATCAGAAAATATTATCGTGTCTGCAGAAGAACCATAATTCAAGGTCGATTTCTAGTGTCGCTTTTCGTGATGACCACGTCAAAAGTCATCCCAATTCGCCTCGAACTTTGCAGGCTGTTTCAAAGAACTCTTTAGCTAGTCATTTGATTGGCAGGAGATATTACACCCCAACTGGAGACCATGCAAAGCATTTTAACTTTATTGCAGATGCTGTTGAGATCGCCTCGCCCGCAGTTGTGTATGTAGAGGTAGCGATCCAGCAACAAGGTGGTTTATTTGGCGGAGGGGGCGTGGCACAAGGAGCTGGATCTGGTTTTATTGTCACCGACTATGGTGTCATTTTAACAAATGCCCACGTTGTGACCAACTCGAGAAGTGTATCTGTAAAGCTGGCATCTGGGGATGTACGTTTTTCAATAAGATATAAAGAGTCTCGTGTCCCCACATAGTTTGTACTTTATAGTTTAGGAGCTTTTGAGAAGACAGTACCATCTCTTTGTGTGTTAATTGCGTACTTATTTTTGTTTAATCTAGTAATACTTTTAATGAATTTTCACCATCTTTTTCCATTGATTAAGCGTTTTTTGTTGTGGTCTACTTTATTTTTTGTTCTGCATACCCTTGAGAGACCAAATGAATAAGCTTGTGATTTTGAGACCCATTTCTGTTTTGGTCTTTATCATTTATGATTTATATTTGCCTTACAGGTCCATGGAGCAGAGATCCTTGATATTGATCCAGTGGCTGATTTGGCAGTTTTAAAAATCAAACCTGAAAACAAACTGCCAACAATTAAACTTGGGAATTCTGCTACACTGAGGCCAGGTGAATGGGTTATTGCACTAGGAAGTCCGCTTAATCTCAGCAATACTGTTACAGCTGGAATTGTCAGTACAGTACACAGAGGTGGCAGAGATATTGGCCTCAGAAAAGGTAATGCTATAAGTCAACTTGAAACAAAATCTTATTAAATGTCACAACAATGCTCTCAAAATGTCCCCAGAGCTAGCATATGGCCCCCAGTTTCTTTGATCTTACTTTGTATCTGACAGCACATCAGAAACAAAGTGCTATTTTTTGTTGATAACAATAACAAGGCTTACCTTCATGTATACCCAAACTGCTCTTTCTAAAGATGCTCTTTGTACGCAGGCTGTAACCTTGAATATCAAGCAGCAATTGGGAAAGGTTCGGTCATTTAAAATTGTTTTTGGGATATTTAAAAGTTGAAATCTTAACAATTGTATTTGTTTGATTAGCCAAGACAAGAAAGCAAGAGCAATAAAAGTATCAGTTGTGAAACCTTCTGGATCTAGTCTCTCAAGACTACGGAAGAATCTTTGCCTGATAAAGAAAAATTAACTTTTGAAACCTGACATTTTTGCCATTTTGGCAATAGATAACTCTCAGCCACTTAATACTCTGAATGCATTTTTAAAAGGGGACATGAAATACATCCAGACTGATGCTGCAATAAATAGAGGGAATTCCGGGGGTCCATTGATCAACCTGGATGCAGAAGTCATTGGTATTAATACAATGACATTGCTGAATACAACTGGTAAGTATAGTATATTGCTTCTTTAAAAAACATTTTCAAGAATTTTGACTGTCACACATAATAGGTTGATATTTTTTGTGAAGATGCAAATTACTTAAGCTTACTATAGAAACAAGTTATTTAGATTAAATAAAAGATTCTGGTTATCTTCGATAAGTAAATAACGGAAAAAAACAAGTTATTTAGTCATTAAATAAAATATTCTGGTTATCTTCGATAAGTAAATAACGAAAAAAGACCCAGGGTTGTTTTAGATTCTAAAATAATATTATAAGTATAACTCTAGCATAACTCCATAAGCAGACTTTGCACATTTTTTAATCAATTTCTTTACATTTTGCACATGTATGAGTATTACTTCCGCAAATAGAGACGTATTCCAAAAGGTACAGGTTTTCTCTTTCAATTAAAACAAACCAATTTTTTCAAGGGATATCTTTCGCTGTGCCAATTGACCGTGCAAAGGCTTTTCTGCTCCAAGCTTTGGAGAAACAAGACCGAGGTAAAACCCAAACATTAGTAAAAAAAGCACAAAGGCCATATATTGGAATAAAAATGATGTCTTTGTACCCTCAAATTGAGGGACAACTGCGTCAACAAATTCAAGGTTTTCCCGATGTTTCTCATGGGGTTCTTGTGGTTGAGGTCGTTCCTGGCTCACCTGCACAAAGGGGAGGTCTGCAGCCTTACGATGTAATAACTGAAGTTGAGGATGTCATAGTGAGCAGTACAGAGCAGCTTCATGAGTTTGTTAGAAGGGGAAGAGAAATGAATATTAAAGTAACAAGACCTGGAAACAAGAGGGATATTTTGAGGATTTCACCCATACTGCAGTGACAATCTTGAACAGATACATCTGCACTTCACCCTCCTCCATCAATATTAAGACCTTTTTCAGGCAAAAATCATTTTTGACTGCTGCTTATTTCTGGTAGAATAAAGATTTTGTAATGAGTATGATTGGTCAAACAAATAATCAATTAACTGTTATGTACCCAAAAGTCTAATAGATCCTAAAGACATCAATTAACCTCTTCCAACAAGGTTTAATATTGTTTCTATATTAAATGTTTTTCCAGTAATTGATGATCTGCTACAAATATCTCTAAAGGGAGACTTGATCCTGACCTTCTTGCAAAAACAAATCATCCAATCCCCATCTAAAACCAATCCTTCCATTATTAGAGACCCATTAAACCAGTTGTAATCAAGAAACAATTTAAACACAAAACACCTACCAGACGTTTGGTATTATTATATATGCTAATGCTAATGGATATGACAACTTTTACTTTTATTGATGATCAAGACTTAATATGATAACACGACCTAGAACAGAGTCTGTCCTGTTTAGAATACAATTCATTCAAATTTGTTTTTGTAACAGTTTTTATAAAAGACTCATGCATAATCCACTCATTCATCCTTGCTTAAAAATTCATCATTTTGAATAAAAATAGAAGCTGGTGCCACAGAACTGCCATTTGGCCAGACAATGGAATAATATTAATGCTTTGAAGAAATAGATTTGGAATTCCCTATAAAGGCAAATGATGCTTGGGTACCAAATTTTAGACCAAAGAAAAATAAATCCTTTTTTGTGTTTGATTGGAGGAACATATAGCAAATTAATCATAACAGCTACCAAATAGTATAATATTGCTGAAAAATTTCCCACGCATGATACAACAAAAATCTTTGGCTTTGTGTTTTGAATTTTACAGTTTTTACAATATATGCTTTACCAAAAGCTTTGCAAAATGTAACAGAATGGATAAAAGCGATACTGAGATTTGGAATTTGTGGATACCTTTTTAGATTTTGAGGCATAGAACTAAACCTTCTTTGAATATGATCTTTATTTTATGAACATTCAAGCAAACAATTAATCCACAAACATTTCAAATGTGAGCAAAATTCAACACTACCTTTTTAAGAACTGCAAACCTTTCATTGTTCTTATTTTACCATTATTTTTAATTTGATTATCCAAGTTCAAAGTTAAGTAACAAAGATTACATGCTACCAATTATTTTCAAGAAATTTTGTTTCTCTCTGTTTATCGAGGTGCCAGATCCCCTAGAATATTTAGTGTGGATTTTCATATGATAGGAAATCCAAGTAAAAACAACAGATCTGGAATTTAGTTTGATAAATTTGAAATACTAATCAAAAGTTTATTTAGAACAACATAAAAACTGTTTGCAATAATCCTTCAAGTTGATGTTTTGCTCACTCACAAGATATTTAAAAAAACTTGGAAAATATTTTAGGCATATCTATAACTGTCTACTTGTCATGATTTTCAGTTTTGTTCTCAACAAACAAAAACGAAATACTGTGAATGCTAAGATGTCTTTGTTTACATTCAACCAAACAAGCAAAAACTGTCTTTATAAACAATGTAATATAAACATTAACTGACATAAATGTGCCAAACAGCTTACAAATAAGAAGGTTGCAAATTTTAAGCCAGACCAAATCCTTCAGGGCATTCTTGAATTGCCTTTAGTAACATAGAATACAGCTTTTCGTATGTGTTGTAAGGTGGCAAATCCAGTTGGTTGAAACTACAAAAAACAGCATTTTGATTATATACTGAATAAAGCACTTATCAAAATTAATATCTAGATATGCATGAAAGTTAATGGTCAAGAAGGTCAAAGCCACAGTTTTATATGCCTCCTGAAAGTAGTGGTATTGTACACATAAAATATGTGTAACATTTTTGTTTAAAGTTTTAAACATCAAAGTATTGTTTGTGCCTTAAGAAGCTTTTATATTTTCATTTATTTCGAGTTTTATTCTACCAGTAGAACTGTTTTGGAATGAAAGGAAAAACCAAAGGTCCTTATTTTTCTAACCAAAGTGCAAACAAATTAGAAAACAGTGGAGGAAATTATCACGATTTTATAAAAAAACAGTAAACATTTCTAATGATTGCTAGATGAATAATGTTGGAATTACTTGGTGAAAAAATGTTTATCCAGGATTTACGATTATGATTATTTTTATTATCAGAAAAAAGTCTAGAAAATATAACAACATAAGGGATATTTTTATTATCATGATTTTTATGATTATGATATCATTGAAAGTCAGGATGTTTCAGAACTTCCTAAAATCCAATTCTAGCTGGATATTTAAATAAATTTACCGGGTTTTAACTAGGTTTTTACGAAAATATCAGAAAAAGAGAATACTAGAAAGTAAGCCCAAACATTTCAAATAGCTAGAATAAAATTAGTGTCAATAATTGTTCTTGCACCATAACCTTAGAAAACTTTGAGCCGAATTGGTAGATAGATTTGACAGCAAAATTTGCAAAAAGTGGGAATGCTGCACAGTATTGTTCCCATCGTAAAAAAACTTCATAAATGCAAATCAGAGGCTTATTAAGAAAGGCTTCCATTTCCCAACAATGACTGACAGGTAACACCCAAACTTGCCTGGAAACACCTCACCATCATTACCACTACCCTCCTTTGATTGTGAATTTGAATGGGTTTGCTTTTTATACAAATCCTCAGAACCAAAAAAAATCAAGATGGACTTCTTCTAAGGGTTTTCTGGTCTTGTTTCTTTGAACTCTAGCATTAAGTACTTCTTTCGCTGTTTCCATTAGTTATCATTTGGTGTCTTAATTATCAAGATATTCTTTATAATCTCAAAGCATTGACCTCCTTGTGAATGCAGTCTACAGCATTGTGGGAACAAAATCATGCTTATTAAATATTCTTTGACAGAGAGAAGATTTATTTTATCTTCATCATTTGGGTTTGAGGAAATTCTTTTTGGCGAAAATTTTTTGAGCGCCTCTGGCAACGTGAGCTCTTTTCAACTAAATTTAGGCAGATAAAACTCTAATGCAATAATATTTGGAATAACACACAAAAATGACTTTTAAATGGAACAAAGACTCGCTCCATTACTTGTCGAAAATTTGAAAAAAACTGAACATTCGAGAAAGTTTTTTAAACATTGACTTAAAAATCCAGTTCCAGCCAGATTCTGAAACTTCTGAGCTGATACACCAGCTGATTGGATGTAATGATAACGTTAACTGAAGGTAAAGCCTGGTTCCCATAAAATCCTAAGAGTGGGAAACGGGTTACGATCTTATGTGAACCAGGCTTAAAGATGACTGACAGACCTTCTTGGGAATAAATTATTAAGCCTTTTGTTTGAAAATTCAACTTAATTTACCATTCAAAAACGGTATTTTAGAAACATGTGCATGCTAACACAGCTCTATGATAAAAGTACGACTTGGTTTTTACGAGCATTGGGCTAGAAGATGATTGCAAATTGTCATATAATAATGGTTTCTGCAGCCCTAGATGTAAGAATGGAATTTACCGGACCACTACTAGCCCTGATACTACGGTCATTTGGTACGTGTTTGATTGCATTAAAGTGTCGTCACAACAGCTCTTCAAAATGATTACGGTGACCCAGTACGGTGTGGGGAGGCGTGTACCAGCACGTGTGAGTGCGATCGCTTCCAGGAAGGCCTGACTGATGAAGATGGTTGAAGATGATGATCAAATGCAATGATTGGCATGATGATGATTGATGCTGGTGAGTTCTTCACCCGTGCTTCTTTAGAACAACATTACATCAAAACATTAGAGAGTACCATATTTACTTGACTAAATGCCCCCGCCTTAATTTCCAAATGTTTAACATTTTACCCAACATTAATTCAAGACTGGCCTTTATTCGTTAGCTGGTGTTTATATGACTTCATAAAATAAGACTTAATTGAGACTAAATTTTGTTTCATTATCTTAAGGTTATTCTCTGAAACAGTCATTGACTTACTTTGTGTCAGTTTTAAATCTTTCACTTGTTTTTGCTAGCGTCATCTTGATATTTGTTTCAAATTTTCAAGCAACAATGATTTGTTGCCTTATCAGAATACGATTAACAATGCACCATTTGATATAAAGTCTTTTAAAACAAATCGAGTGAACACCAGACCTTTAATATATGTCCTGGGGTTTGTTTGAAGCTTGGAAAATTTGTCTAATGTTAATTTGAGACCAGCGTTTATTCAAGAACTGGTGTCACTTCGAGTATATACAGTAGTAAGGATCTATACTATAGCTAACAGCATGTAGGTTTTTAACTATGCAGTGTAGATTAGGTTTTAAAACATCAAATTTAAATTTTTCCCACCATTGTTTGATATTGGTTTTAAATATATCCAATGCAGACTTCACATAAGCTAGATTGTGTTGTCTGGTCCAAAGAGATTCAACCTATACCTATATTTGCATCTACATACCAGGTATGAGCCGATGGAAGTCTGTCCGTAGACCGTTCATCTTTATGTATTTGAAACTTCTGTGGTCCGTTCATGCCTTCAAGAGCTGCGAAACCTTGCAACGGAACCTTTGAAGTACCAGTGACAAACTGAAGGAACTTTGCACGATCTGCTTGGTCAAGTGAACGCAAAGCACGCCAGAACCATTGAATCTGAAAAGGACAACTTTTTATCATTATTTAATTTTTTACTCAATGTTGTTGTGTTTATTCCTTTGAGCTCTTTATTCAGAGTTTGCTTGAACTTCAGTGCCAAGGATAAGGGGAATTCCTGACTATGTTGTAACAGATAGGAAAGTTGTTACGACAATGTTATCTTTGCAACAATTAACACCAGTTTCTAGACATAGTTGAAATTAAAAAAAAGCCAGTTTCCATTTTGAACAATCAACGTTTACGTTAGTATGGCCTTTGCTTGCTACTAGCCAGAAAAGGACTCTACTCTTTTAGATTTTGTGTACATGAAGCATTTTACAAAATCATTCCAGACAAAATAAACACAACTTCTAGGGGGCGTTTTACTCCCGTCTCCTCTTCCTAGATGCCATTGGAAACAGTGTATGGATCAGACATAAATCAGCATCACACTTATACATTAGACACCTTCAAACCAATGAAGGAGAAAAACTGTTTTTACCTGAATAGAATTAGCATCATATTTGTGGTATTCTGTGTTTGCTCTCAACTCTTCAATGTCTATTGTTGGCAATCCAGCGATTAATAATTCTAGTTCTTGCTCATCAAATATGGAAATTAATCTCTTAGGAATAATCTCATAGAAGCCTTCCAAGAAAGTGTCAATTTGTTGTCTTATCGAGCCAATCATTTTCTCTTGGCAAACGAGTTTCACATACTCCCTCTTGTTCTCTTCGCTGACAGGGATGTTGCGGCCGTTTGCCTTCAGATCATGTATTTCGTTCATGCCAAAAACTGGAACCTAAAAAATTGATAGAAGCACACATCAAGTATAACAGTTTAAATAATTTATAGAAAATTATGATACTATTGAAAATATAATGGAAGTCAAATATCATATATATCCAAAAGCAATTTTACAGATTTGTCTACACAAAAACGTTCTTTACGTTTCTGCCTTTTTGTACCACTCTCAATTTATTTTTATCTTCCAATTCTTTTGCTCGACACTTTTATCTTTAGATGAGCATACGAGAAAAAGTAGCACTTTGCCCTTATATGTTATGTTTCTGCTTTTTTGTGTAATTCTACTCAAAGTCACTGACTATTTGAAAGTGAAGACATTCACATCATTTCAAGGTATGCTAATCAAAGAAAGAAGATGTTTTAGAACCTGAGAGTCGATTTTATTCTAAGGAAAACCATGTTAATATTATTCGTATTGAGTTATAGCCCATGGGTTTCCTATTATTATTGTCTTGATAAAAAAATTAGGAAAATAACGGGAAACTATTAAAGAACAGATAGAAAGATACTAGAAAAGAATTATCTGAAATGTAAAGCATAAAAACTTAAATTGTAAGGCAAAATCAATGAACCATTATAAAACATTTCGAGAAAATGCTTAAGTTAAGTTAATCCATGACAAAAACCGCGAGAAAGCAAGACCTGATATGAGATTGGCAAATACAGACAAGCTAAGTCTAACTTTTTCAGTTTATATTTAAATAATGATAGCCCATTTCGAATTTAAAAACACACAGGTCTAAACTATTCAAGTTAGATATATCACAGTAGATCGAGTCACCATATATCTAAAAACAAGTTATGATATCAGTGAAGGTTGGTTAATATTACGGGTAGAAATGCGAAATGCATGGGACATGCGGCGGCTACAATTATGGAGACACATTAAGTTAAATTGTCCATGAATAGACTAGAGTGAGATGACTGGTGCCATAAATTCAAGAGACATGATAACGAAATTCACTTGAGTCGTGGAAAACTTACATTGATGAAGCAACATAAGAACGATTTGAGAAGGATGACAAATACCAACCTCAACACTAAAGGTGAGCTCATAACCAAGTTCTTTAACTTCATGTTCCAGCAAATACACCAGTCCTTGGTAGAAACTGTAATCTTCCACTTCCATATCTGTGTAATGCACTTTCTTGTCTAGAATATGCTTATAAAAGGATCTTGTGAAATAGCAGTCAAGCAGCTTGTTATCATAGATAGCCTTAGCAACAATACGACCAACAAATTTGAAGTAGCTGAGATGGTTTGGGTTGCAATGAGAGTTCCTATTCGGAAGATATGTGTTCTTGTCTCCTTGAGATGTTGTGAACAGCGCGTAATTCGGATTGAACATCTCTCTGGCTATTATTAGGTACCACTCACGTAATAATCCACCAGCATCCTGGCCTTCTTCTCCGTCAAACACAATGTACAAGCGGTTTTTCATTTCTTCTTTTGACTTGCGATGGAGTTCTCGGTAAGAATCTTCAAAAACATGTTCTCTTCGTACATGCACAGCCATGTCTTCTCGCCTTACACCCTACAAACATCAGAGAAATAATGAAAAGTTGTCACACGCATGTTGAAAATTGGCTCTAGCTGGAAAAAAGGCAGCAGTCAGGGGCTTATTTGATGTTTCAAGTTATCATCAGTTTATAAGAATGATAGGCATTTGAAAAATTCTTCACAAAAATATTTGCTTCTTCAAAGTGCCAAAACGTTTTATTCAAAATAAAGTTTCTATCAAAAGAAAGGAAGAGTTTAATAGATAATAAACCTATCCATGAGTATTGCTAGCAACATATTACAACGCAAGAACTTGAGCTCACCTTGTCAAGCTTTTCCAGCTCTTGTCTGAAATACCTTCGTTTGACGTCGAAATCAAGTAGTCTTGTATGGTTGACAAGAACAGCAAATGGTCCATCTGATAAGGGTGTCGTAGACTGCCGCAGAATCTGGTTCAATACAACACGATGGGTCTCTGAAATAATTAAATAAAAATTTCAAGTCAAAAAAGGTTTCTAGTTTTCGCACATCAGCTTAAATAGGCAATAAGAGACAGCATGGTTTACTCCTTTTAAAGTAGCATTACATGTAGAAAGTTGGAGACTAAATTTTCATTTCTGGTGCGTTTCTAGATCGTTACATTTCAAATATAGCGTCAACGGCTCGTTCCACTTTTTTGGACAAATATGCGATATAAGACTTGGCTATGTTTTGCTAGGTATGAAACTAGATTAAAACATATATTGATAACAGTGGATGTTTAAGGATGAGATGGAAAACATAACAAATTTCAGCTTAAACTTCTAACAAATATTAAAGAATTTTTAAAGAATAATTACTCAAATAATTATCAGTTTTAAAGAAACTTTGGCTATTATTTACACAATATCTAGCATTTATGAATATGACTGAGGACTGAAAAAAAACATTTTGCTTGAATTAAATAAAGATCGTGCCCCAACCCAGAAAATTAGACGGGAAATATCCTGATTTTGACAACATAAAATCTTAAAAATGTGGTATTTTAAGAACATTTTATAACGCATGCATTTCTTTATAACTGGTAATTTAGTTAAATAGTAAAACAAAGTACCTGCAAAACGCAAGAATTTCTGGGTATCTGGAGGTAAATCTGGAGATATACTTGACACGGATGACTGCCTCGAAGGACTGTTAGGTACTCCAGGTGAAAGAGGTCCTGGACTGAAAGGAGGCAGGTCTAGCGAGGCTACAGAGGATTGCTCCTGCGCATCAGACTTCTTCTCTTTTTCTTGAAGTTCGTCTTTGTCAGATCCATGAACAAGGAAGAACGCTTCAACAGCCGGTTGCAAAACAAGGACGGCGTTCGTGTCTGAGGTTTCAGCTAATTCCGTCAAACATTCGCCTGCATGAGAAATTATCAAAGATTAATGCGATTTCCTTTTACATTCTTAGGTTCCTTGAAACTAGAAGCTATTTGTATTGTCTATTCTTTGCTTATTCCCTAAGTTTAGGATAGCATTTATATACTTCCTGTTCATAATTGATCTGGGCAAGCCCAAGCATATAACTCGTTTTGCCTCTACAAGTTCTCTTACTTCAGAATAAGAAAAAGTTATCAACGTACCGTAGATACATTTGAGATGCAATGTATTGATTTTACGGTCTGATGCCAAATTCAAATTGGCACCCAGAAAGAGCAGTGTAAGCTGGGGTTACGATCGTCCAGCTCCACAACAAAAGACAGACATTGAAAGCAAACCATACCCCAGATAACTAGGAATTCACAGAATCGGACTGATTTTCGATTCCCATTGAATTTTCCTGCACTACAAAAGCCCTATCCATACCCAAAAAAACCGACCCTAGCTAAGTCGAATCATTTTTTCTCCTTGCGTACACTGCTTCTTCAGAGCAACAGCACAGGATTACAGAGTATCGTTTTCAACGAGAGAGTGACTGCTGAAGAGAATTCTGAGGCCTTTTTAGGTAAACTTCTGACAGCCATAATACGGTTTCTGAGCATTTTAAACAAATACAATTGAATATAACAAGCCTACCAAGCATGTCCCATAATTCATCCAAAACAATTTGGCTGCTGAGACGTGGCAATTGTGGAACTGTATTGACAACATTAGACAACTCGTCTAAAAAGAAACGAATACAAAATGAAGACTGAGTAACACAGCAAAATAATCAAAGTAAACTATGTATTGCATTGTATCTTTAAACTCTAAATTTAATTTTCCTTACTTAGCTGAAATAATTCTAACTTAAAGGTACTTATTGAGGTACATGAGTAATTATTAAAACTGGATCAACCAATGAATGGCATTAGTGCAGGAAAAAATGTACTGTACTGTTCATCGGTAAATGTACTGTTCATAATAAATAGGCCTAAAGCCGTACTTTGTCTGGATGACTCTCCTTGTGATGACGAAGAGGCACCTTGACCCGCAGTGCTTGCGTTTCCTTCAGCCTAAAATCAAAGAAACAGTCCCTAAGGTAATTAAAAAAATGATTGCAGAGTGTTTTTTACCACTGATTCTCTACAAGGAATTGTATTCTTGAATGATAACAGGTCCTTGAAAGATAACAGGATACTTATCCTGACCAAATAAACCTGTAGAAATATTATTTATTATTATTATTATAATCATTATTTTTATTTCGTATACCAATAATCAGATCTCAAAATGGATTAAAAAACTTCTGAATGAAAAAGTGTTCTGAATTCACCATCTTAAAAGTCTGCACAGGAGGCTGAGGAGGGGCGATCAGAATACACCGACTGCCTTTTTCATTGTTGTAAAAGTTTAGACCAGATTTAAATAATGGAATAACCTTTGCATTTCCTTGACTGCTTGAATCATCAATCACAGACTGCATTTGACAGTCCCCAAATACACTCGGGAAACAGCCTATAGTCATCAAGATCTCAATTTGTTAAAGCATGTGCGTTTATTTGAACTAGCCCACAGAGAACAACTATTTTCCAGGCCCCCTCGAAAAAACTCTTACCTGACTTGTGCTCGGTGCTTCTGGCTCTGCGTTGTTGCTGCTGCTTTGGCCACCACTTCTTTCGCCGTCGTACCTGTCAATCAATTCGTACATCGCCTCAACGTCGGCTTCAAGCGCAGCAACAACCTCACGAAGACTTTCTCTGCCGCTGCGGAGACCTTCTAATAGCCGCATCCCTGGATGGAAACAAAAAGTTGATATTACTTAAGAAACAACAGGATGAACAGACCGTCTATCAATTTACTTAGCGATTTTCTTATACTTGAACAGCGGTACGTTAAAAACAAACTGAAAGCCTCAAAAGTATGCAAAAACCCAAGCCAAAAAGACACCCTGATGACTCCCCAAACTACTTAAAGGCAACCAAACACATTCGCATTCCCACAAGAGCATAACTGGATCATCAGATATTCACTCAAGAAAAATTGATTTCTTTTACTAGGGAAAGGAAACTCGATGCTTTAAAAATACATCCGTTCAGGGGGTCTCAAGAGAGGCAAGGAATAGTTCCCCGGGGCTGCATTTTTTTCACCAAGGTATGCCACAAATAAAAGCTGTCAGAGTTAAAAATATGTTGTAGCTATAAGATAAAGACAAGGGTGGATCAAATGCAAGACGAGGCAAATTATTTATTACCTCTGGACAAACCAGTCCTTTGTTGCGTAGAGCCTTTGGTCATGGATTTTCTTGCTGCTTCCCGTAACTGAATCACGACCTTCAGAACTCTCAAAAGCAAGTTCTGACTTGACCTTTTACCAGTCAAACAGGCCATCGACGGCAAATGAAGATCAAAAATAACCTACAAACAGTATATATATAATAAAGTATAATAATCAGCAATGAAATTCTATAATTATGAAAGACCTGTATTGATTTAAATACACTGAAAATTCCAAGAGGGTAAGAGACGTGCAAGAGGCTGGTTTCAAAAATTTTCAGTAGGAAGACGAAACAAAACAGAAACGACGACTTGTGTTGTCAATGCACATCAAATACTTGGATGATAGAAAGAAAATTGTCCAAGAAGCCAAGAGTATGTAAGAAGAAATCAAGAAAAACAGTATTAACTATAAACATGAAACTTGGTATGAAACGAAAAGACGCGGTTTTCTTTCACTGTAAAGGCAGATTGTTGGGCAAATATCGAGGGACTGTGAAGGGTGGATGAAAAGCAAAAGAGGGAAGAAGGGCAAAAACAAAAGGAAGAAAAGAACAGGTTTTGGGGGTTCAGGGAGGACAAAGAGAGAAAATAATGATGACATGGTTAAAATGATGGTTACCCAACAACGTCAAAGAGAGTTACTGAAACTTTGGTTTGAAGCAAGGAACATTTGAGAAAAGAAATGATAAAGGCAATTTATAAAGTTTCTAACCGGCTTCAAAGCTGGCCGTTGGCCGGGGTTGTTTCCAAGTCTCCTTTGGATACCCTGTGCTCGTCCGCGTCCTCTCCATGGCTGAGATCTCGCAGCGGTTGGGTTTATGATAACGCCGGTCCTTTTCTTGCCACCCTGTGAGCAAAAACGAAAAATTTGAATCAAAAAAATGTATCACTTATTGGATACAGTGTGTTGAAAGAAGATTTTGGAAAAAATCTAACTGCTGTTTCATCCAGATTCATGTCTGCCAGAATTACTTGAAAGATCCAGCACAATATTGCACTGTGTTTTTTATTTTTCATTTCTTTCACCGAATACTACTACTTTTCCCCCAGAAAAATGTTGATGGTTTACAAAAATATCATACAAGCCGAATGAAAAATTGTACTCCATAATATTTTTCTTTTTTTAACTTTAAATCAATGTTGTTTCTTGGGGGAGAGGGGAACGGCTGAAATTGCTTTTGAAAATTGTCATTAGTGTTTCAAGACATTTTGGCAGGGATTTTAGGTTCGCACACACTTACTAAGAAATATGTCTCTCTATGCTTTACCTAAATGCGGGTCTGCAGATTTTAATACTCAAGTCAACAATCCTATCTTACTTGTTTGCATGTTAATTTCTTATAGGTATTATGGAAATATGATACAACACATAATTTTAGTTTTATTCAACTACGGATAGCAATGAAATACTAAGCTATAAAATTCAATTTTTCTTTCTTAACTGCAAGCAGCATTGATCCCTGGATGGTCCAAGAACCTTGCTCTTAAATGGCACCCAACTTGTATACTTACTTTCGAGGCATCCTTGTCTTGCTTGTCACTCCATGTAATAGATTATACTCGCGGATCTCTGCTAGCAGTTTTTTGCTCTCCCCACAAAGCGTATAAGCAATATCTCTGGCACCATCGAGAAGCAATGTCAAGACACTGTCCCTCGTGTCCTTGTCGATTTTGGATAACTGCAATAATAACGTTGTTGCATCTTCTAAACCATCTTCAGAGCAAACGCCGGATGTTAAGACATTAACCGCAAGCCGAAGCTGCAATTCATTAACAATTGCCTCTTTTCCTGCTGGCCCCGAACTCTGAAATGACCCGCTGCTCAATGAGAGCAATGGGATGTTTACTGGCGAGGCTCTTGTTCCTTGAAAGAAAATTCAATTTTATCAAATTTTATCAGATCAGTACCATTTTTATAGCCGATTCACCTGCAACATTAAAAATTAAATAGAAAGGTTGAACTAGAGATCAAAAGGCAAAATGACTACCATTTAATCAATATCAGGCTCCGTACACGATTCCCACCCAGAAGAGCAAGCATTTCATCCACAATGCTTACACAAATCCATTCAAAGAGTGCATATATGGCGTTCCCTCTACCATTTAAGACTATTAGCTAAAAAAGCAATTATCTCCCAATCACCCACCAAAAATGCTGCTTGGCGAATTTTCGTATTTTGTTGCATCATAACTTTGGACATAAACAGCCAGTTAACAACTCATCAACCTAAAGTATCTAGCATTTTTTAGGGTGGGGACGGGGCTTGCAATGTTTCGGCAAGATTCCCATGTGTTTTGACAAAGATTGTTCGAGTACGGCAGACGTCTTGAGGGTGTTGCTAGACAGTGGTCTGGGGAGGGGGGGGGGGCTCTTGCCCAAAAGGGAGAATTATCCATTGGAGTATTTGCAATAAACTAAGCAATAAAAAATGTTTCGAACATCAAGTGACACCCTAGTATCAAGCTAATTGTTTCATCTTTCGGTTTTAATTTGACTTAAAATGATAAGGTGTGAAAAGCTTCACTACTCAGTTGGAATTAGGAAATGAGGGCCTACTCACCATTCGACGAAGTGTCACTAACAGCGTGTGATGCTCTGTCAATTTCCATTGGTTCTTCATGTGCCTCTTGAGCCATTCCGCTAATGTCACTATGTGCAGCGTAAGTGCCATCTGATAAACAAGAGACTACTGATTCAGCTCTAGGGGAGCGGGCAATTTCTACCGTATCTACCGGTGCTGGGGAGCCTTCCACAAACAGGGAAGACGTAATCGATGACGTTTCTGAAAAGTGCGAGGCACCCGGGAAAATATTATCATGATCTTCATCTTGAGAGTGGTCAGGGGGTATAACACTGTTTGCATCTTGAGATACCAAATCAGTCGAATCCACCAGGGGGCTTCTTTCAACAATCGTATCCTCTGATGCAAAAGTGACTGTCGGCTGTGTGGCTTCATGATGTGTAGTAGCAGGCTCCTCCACAGCTGCTGGTGCAGTCGCAGTGGGCTCGCTTGCTTTGGTTGCCTCGGGCAACGACATTGAAACAACTGCAAGGAGTCTCAAAAGTTTATCAATGAGAGCTGTATTCCTTTTAATGACTGGGTGTGACAACATTGTTAATATCTGCCCAATAGGCGACTCAGTGAAACTGTCTACATTATCTTCCTTAAACGTGTCTCTTAAAGTCTTTAAAGGCATTTTCCCTTTTCGCCCTGGTCCCATCGAATTCAACCGGTACAAAATTGTCCAAAAATCAGTGTCCGGTATCCGGTCACGAGACTTTTCTTCTGTAACTTCAACAGCAGATTCTTTTGTGTCATTAACCTTTCCTTTATCGTCAACTTTGTTTTCTTCCTCTTCCTTTTTAGAATTAAACGGAGTAAAACTTGTTGGGAAATTTTTGGCCAAAAACAACAACGCCTCTATCACATGTTTATTTACAAACGAGGCTGCATGAGGATGAATAGTGATTGAGGATCCTTTATCAGATGCCTTGCCAGTCGTAGGCCTGACTTCGAATAAATCGACCCTGTGTCCAAAAGACGAATCAAGAGTCCTGGAAAGCCAGTTATTGGAAGGGTTAGACTCTGACTGGCTTCGCTCAATATGGTGATCAACTTGTGGATGCATGCGTTGTTTTCCTACGTGCTTGTGACTTGAAAACTTTTCTGGTGACTTATGCGACTTGACTTCGGAGCTCATGCCACCAGTCTTACCAACTATTGATATCAAAGCTTTGATAATCCACAATCTGGAGCCTCTGTGAAAGGAGACATTCCGCAATACCCTATGTAGCCTGCCTACGTTTAATTTAGGCTCGCCTAAAAACAAAAGAACTAACAAACAAGCTAGACTCTCGTGATCAACCAGCTGCTTATTCAAAGCCTTCTTTACCGTACCGTTATTATCCACATGGCGAATCCCCCATCCACTCTGGCCACTTGCATGAAGTCTCCTGAACGGCGTTATATGGAAAGTTCCATCTGCTGCATGATGACGTGGTCTGGCGCCTGAATGACGTAACAATTGGGAAAACACATTACTCTGTTCAAAAGCACGCTCCTGGAAGAACTGTAGCTGTCGTTGCTCCAGCTCTCGGCGCAATCCCATCGCCTCAGTGCTGACATCAGGAGGCAACACAGCCAGGACTGTATCATCCATATCTGCAAGCACCTGTCGTCTCAGTGTTGGTGCCAGGTTGCGAATGAAAGCGGCTGGGTCCACAGGCTGATCTGGAGTTGTCTGCGCCGCCTGCATTCGAGCTCGTTCTAACCTCTGTTGTTCTAGAACCTAGAACAAGTCAACGACCAAATAGTGAATACATCTCAACTTTTTTGGGTTATGGGTTATAATTTCATTGATATAGCCAAATCAAGGAAGACAGGATTATATCTACCAGAGATGTAAACAAATAACAGTTAGTTACAGTAACACTTATTAACAAGGTCTCTCAGCATTTATCTGATTCTTTTTTAAAAATACCAAAGTCCTTTATGAGCTAATTCGACTATCAACTTAAAAAATGTTTTATGCTGACCAATGTCGACGAAGTGGAAAGCTCCTAAATAAATCCAATCAGCCACAAGTGCCTAATTGCTATTTGAACCTAAGGACATAGCGTTTCACTTAGAACCCTATTGGGGCTGCAATTACGAAAGATCGCCTGCTTTTTATTGAACAGTTTTTGACAAAAAGGTATTTGTCAGCTGCTTGCATCAGTTGAAACAAGCTTTTTCCAAAGACGCTACAATCCCATCTCACACAGTTCAATGTTGATATCTCTGCTGCTAGATATATACGCTTCAACTTTGGATGTGGTAAGGGAAGGGATAGATTAATACATGCATGCTATCAGGCATGTGTTTAGATGCTTGTTATAACTGCCCTACCACGATTGTAGATATGGCTCAATAAGAAACAAAAAACTTTTAAAAGCTTTGGCAACAGTACCCACCTCCTCTTGGATATCCGAGGGTAGTGCGGCCAAGAACTCTGGACTAACATCGACCAATGAAGCATCTGGAGCCACAGCAGCCGGGGATTCTGTTGTCCTTTGCTCACTGCCTTGCGAGCGAATACCCAAATGGTCCCGCAAAACCTCCCGTCTGAAAAATAGAAGATCAAGCTTGAATAAAACACATACAAGAGTATCATACAATGTAGAAGGTACCATGACAAGGGCCACGAATAGGGGGGAAAATCAGCATATGCAATACATATTATAGTTTGAATTACGAGATAAATGATTCTGATGCATTCCACAAAGGCCTCAACGAGAAACCACAAAGGCCTCAAAAGTGATAATTGCTCCTCCGGTTTTATGAGCCAAGGCTTTCAAAACTTTCCTTAAGGAATCAATGAAACGTGTCTTGGTGTGGTAATCAAAATCTTCTTGTTTTTTACGATTTCAATCTCCCATACAGTTTTCAGCGGCCCGATTACCTTTTTTTCACTTCTGCCTTTGACATTACAATTTAAATATAAATTGATATTATCCGAATATCCTCTGGTATCCTCGATTGACTCACCGGATATCCTCTGGTAGAGCATCAAGAAAAGATTGATCAACGCCTTCTGGTATGCGCACACCATCAGCTTCGGCTGCGTTAGAGCTCTGCAGACCACTGGGGCCAGCTTGTTGTTGTGTTCCAGATTGGGCAGTATTCTGTTGCGCTGTGTCGCTTGCTTGCTCGTTGTCACCATTGACAGCTAAAGCAGCTGACGATGATGTCACTGGCACTTGTGTATCTACTGAGTTTTGGGACAATCTGTCACTTAGAGAACTTAGTAGCTGAGACGTCGAGACTGTAGGACAAAAAATATATGGTATGAAAAGATATATGGTGTGAAAATCACTCCGATGGACCTTTGTCATTTTATTGTATATCTCTCATCAATATTTTGAAAGGAAAAGAATGAGGGCTAGATGACAACAGATTTAGAGGAGAAATGAAAAAATAATAAAATTCGCAAAATCTAAATTTTACTGAAAGGTACACATTTTGATTGTACTTGTTCAAATGCAACAATGAAGAACATTCTGAAGAAGCTTATAGCGAAACGTCAACCAAGTTGTTTTTTTATTGACTATATGTATATATCTATATATAGATTGCTGAGATTGCTAAGAGATTGGTGGCAGCAATAAAACAGTTTGTTTGCGAGAACATAGACAGAAAGTATAAATGTCCCATGCCATCAACTCGACCAGCTTATAATAAAAATCTTTTGATCCAAATCCAGAAAGACTGAGACAAAAAAAGCTATGGCGTGAAGTTTTCAACTCATGTTTCGAAGATAAAATCAAGGAATAATGCTGCCTAAGGCCTTTGAATAATGCTGCACAAGAAATTCACTTATTTGTTATAGATACAATTAAGCTGCGAGCGTAGCATGATCAAAATTTGATTTGAAGTAACAAAATATCAACACAATATTCTTATAATAAAAACTAACCGATTGGGGTTGCTACTGCTGCGTTGCTGGTTACAGCTGCGGTGGAGCCTGTAGTGAGCTGTGACAATATAGCGGATGCGAGGTCCACAGCCAACTCAGGAGCTTGCATCTGGGAACGATGCCGTGCAGGGGCCGGTGGAGCAAGAGGCGTGTCGGCATGCACGACAGAAATGGGCGTTGTTTCGTTCAAAACGGCAGAAATAGGTGGAGCTGTAGTGGATTGTCCTTGTGATATGGGGTGCGAGTTTGCTGGGGTCTGTGCGTTATTTGCCGGTGACGACTGAATTGGAGGTAATGTTTGCTCGTTGGCGACAACAGACGAAGTTAGCGAACCTTAATAAAGAAGAAAATAAACAAATCATGACAAAGGTAAAAATCAATTCTATTTTGAGATTTGTTATACGGTAACAAAAGGAAATTGACAAGTAACTTCTAGGCAGCATCCAGAAAAGATCTTCTCTTCGGACAATACCGAAAAGTTCGAAAAAATTTCTCCCAAAACAATGAAAAAGCCAGTATCACGAGAGAAGTCAAAACCCTCCAAAGCAAAGAAAGTTCTAAAATTATTTTCTTGCTCATACTATCAGTAAAATAAAAACTGGCTTAACATGCTCTACAAAAGGTGAGCTGCTGTAACATTAACGTACGTCAAAGCTAAGCAAATATGTTTATCACTTTGTCCTACAACCTACGACACTGGACGACTTTCTGACAAATAGCCTCTAGTATATATCATCCACACGGGGGTGACTTTCCATCTCTGTTGCTACTAAATACCCAGGCTCCAATTTGCAATAACCCCCGTTGTACGAAAAGACTCACCTTGAGAGAAAGCACTTGCTATGTTAGTTGTCCCTTGTCTATTGGGCCTATTTGTAGATGACGTTAAAGCTGCTGCTTGCGAAGGTGTAGATACAGATGGAGTGATGTCGGGTATGGGAGGCAGTTCTCTCTCTGAGTTGAGCCCACTACCTTGTGACGCATTGCTTCTTAATGGGGTTGTGCTTGTACCCGATGACGTCACGCTTACTTCCGCGGTAGGCAAAGTTGATGCAGTTTGTGACTGGGAAACCTGAAGAAGATAAAACCAAATATGCAAAATGTATTGTCGCTAAGGTCTACCATGAAATGATCGACATTGAATCTAAATCACATGACGCAACATACGATAAACGTTGGCTTTTACACTCGATTTGAGTTTTACACCGGATTGACTGACAGCGCAAGACATAAAGGGTTTTCCAATAGGGCAAATCGAAACTCTACCTAAGTCAACTCCTGTAATGAAAATGGCATTGAACATTGGGCATCGATGCTACGCTAGCATATAAGTTGATCTCTTCCACAAATACTGGCAATAAACACAAAACCCATTTTTAAAAATACCTGTGCTTTTTCCGACTTTTTGTCATCCGTCTTGTCCTTGTTTTCTTCACTCCTGGCGAGACTCTCTGCTGCTTCTTTCTTCTTCTTCCGTTCTTCTTCACGTTTTTTCTCTAACTCTTCCATCTGCAACTTCACCAAATGGTCGATGATCTCTGGTTTGATAGCATTGACACAATCATGCACACTCATCCCATCTAACAGCCTGCTTTCGAAAGCCCATCGATTCAGCGCATTTGGAACAGAGTGCAATGGAATTGAAAATGAATCCATCGAGTCACCGAAAAAATCAACCAATACGTCATCACTAACTTCATCTAAGTTGCGACTCAGTACTCGAATATTGTCACCGACCAAAATTCTAGCAAAACTTGTCCCTATGAGAGAAAGCAAACACCAGAGGTTACGTATACACCAGAGGTCATGTGAGTAACAGAAAACTGTTTTTTACATAATATATCAATTCTAAGACACGCCAACCTCTACCGTGAAATGAATATTAGGCGCTCTTACTTATACTGCGCTTGAAAAACACTTTAACGGGTTTTTAAAAAGACGATTAATTACAACAACTTTCTATTTTTCCTACACAATTCAGTTATCATTCTCACTGCCATGTTTGCAACTGTGTGCAAGATTTGTGTAAATGCTATAGAACACACAGCAATACAAAACCTTAACCAACTGTAACAGGGGGAAAGTTCTGAAAATAAAGCCCGTCACTGTGTAGGAACGAGATGCAACAGATCTAGAAAACACTCCTGACTTGTACCTTTGAGAATAATCTTACTAACAAGTATACACAAACAACGTAGCACATTGCAAAGGAAGTTACGTCTACGTGGATGAGGACAAAGGGGTAAACAACCAAAAGAGGGTTTACACACCTGTGGCCTGTGCGTTGTGGATATGTAGAGTGTGAGTCTGATGACCATGCCTTTGTCCCAAACGATCATTCCTCGAGCCACGCCCACGAGCCTGTCTACCGGAAACCCTGTTGTCTGTTCCAGATTGCCTTGTTAGAAGCGGGTGCTGCAAGATGGCGGCGCTGACTGAGGAGGAGCTGTCTAAGGCGTCTGTGTCCAGCAGCCGGGAGGACAGTGGAAAGTGGACGGCGTGTGGTCTTCTGGGGAAATTCAATTCAATGGTAGCACCTGAAACGTTTAAAAGATTGACAATTCAGTCTGTTTGACAATTAAAATATTCAGTCTGTTTTAAATCTAACTAATGAATCTTTTAATTCCAAACTGACCGCACGATACCTTTCTCCTTGTGCAACAAAGTGACCCTCTTTGCTAGGTCACCAAGCGCCTTTTCCGTGCAACAATGGACTAAAATTTGCTCGGTTCACTTAAACTGCGCGTGGCTGCCTGCTCAGACACTCCTTTAGGCTAGAAACTCAGAAAGTGACGTTCCTCGTTGATAAAAAATTGCTTGAAAGGAGATTATAAAGTAATGTCGAGAAGCACTGAAAGCATTCTCAAAAGCAATAAATGGGAAAAACCTAGATTAACTTCCTTACTACTGTCATCGTTTTCTGCTGAGAATTGTCCAAAATCATCTTGGAAAAGGTTAATAGAATCTTCAATTGCATCAGCATTAGCATCAGCGTCCATGTCTGATAGTTCCATGACGTCATCTTCATCTTCTTCATCGTCGTCATCTTCGCCATCATCATCTTGATCATCATCATCTTCCTCGTCGTCTTCTTCCTCATTTTCATCTGCAATTCAATTAGAATGTATATAAAAACTTAGCATGTACACACAAATACAAGTAAACTTAGCAACAAAAAAGTATTGAGAAGAAAGATAAAAAGATAAAATAAAAAACTCGGTATTTTGGGAACCGATGATTACTTATTTATTCCAATGTTTGAAAGAAAAATTATTTAGCTATCAATGATAAACTAATAATTAAAGGTGACTGAAAAACCAATTCTTCAAATGAAAATCATCTTCCATTTCAAATATGGAAGGCAAAAAAGTCTATCGTCTCAGCAATGTACAATATAGATGGCCAAACAGAAAAAGGGTGACTCCACTAACCCAGTTCCCCTAGAATTATTGTTTCACTGTCTCCTTCATCGATTGTATTATTGCGCTCGTCCTCATTCTCCTCTTCTACGAGAACAAAACCAAATCGAAAGTTTAGAGGACAGAAGCAAATAATAAAGCTGAATTCAGTATTAAGTTTGGGAGACATCATTGCAGTCATAAATTTCTCATGGACATCTAATGTGAAATCAGAACGTTACACGCGAATTCATTAAATCATGAGGTCTCTAACTACAGGGGTTTTTTGAAAAAATTATAAGCGTTCAGTCATGCTCTGTTTAATGTTAAGTCAGAACCTTCCATCCAAATTTCTTGGTTTCTGATTGTTTTTTTAACCTGAGGAGTCTTCGAGCTGATGTTATTCAATCTAATGAGTTTGTACAGGTTTTTAAAAAGCATTTTAACGCGCTCTGTTTTTCTCTAGATGGCAGCAAACTAGAGCTTGAAGGGCCATCGTAGTTAAACGACACGGAGACTATAGCAAAAGAATATGAACAATACCTATAGCCTGGGAATCGTTTGGCTGTACTTCTGCCATGCCACTAAAAGTGATCATGAGTGTGTCCCCGTGCTGATGATTAGATTCCCGCTGATTTTGAATAGCATCGTCATCTGACTCGACAACTTCTTCTCCGGCACTGTTTGTTTCCTCTTCATTTGTCAAACTATCATCGTCATCATCATCATCATCGTCGTCGTCATCGTCGTCATCATCGTCGTCGTCGCCACTATCATCCGTCCCATCCATCCCTTCGACGACCATTTCATGCGATGATTCCGAGGCTGCTGACAAACTATCTTCTCCAGGGTGTCGATCATCGCGAGCCTCGATTACAATCTGCTCTTCTACAATACCTTCACTTGCTCGGATATTTCGAATGGTTTCACTGATTACACGATTTTCTCCTAAATCAAATTAAATCAGATAATCATCAGATATTTATCAAATAATCAGAAATTTTGATATCCAGCTTACATTGTGGATGAGATTTTAGATATCAAGTTTACGGTTGACAGCTTGGCTGATCAAAATGTTCTGAAATAAGCAAATTTTGTCGTTTCTTATTTTTAATATTAACTTTACTTCACTAGGTCAATGAAAAAGAGATATAGTTCTTAACATTTCAGCTTCCCTTAACCGCTAAACAAAGGCTTTAGAAGCATTTGAAGACATGTTGATAATTTCAGTTTTAGTTACTAGTAAAGAAAATCATCCCGTAAGGCTTTATAATTTACATATATCTGCTCTAAAGTTTGGAAACCAATAGCGTCACCTACGTCAAGTTCCCTGGCAAAACATCACGGCAATAAAATATGGACAATGGGTTAAAACATTTGCACTTGGAAAGACAGAAACCAAATATCTTAGCAACAAACTCTTACAGAAAAGATCCTTTTTCGAATTAGACTTTTACCTTCAACGGGCTGCAACAATTGCTCGATAATATTTTCAAGATTGCCATACTGTGAGCGCTCGTTCGTTGACTGTTCATTTTGCCTGCTAACCTGGTTCGAAGCTTCGGCAGAATCAGCATTAGAGGCAGACTGATTCTCTGAAAATAGAGAGAAATAGGGACATCTTACAGAAAGTGATATAAGCTGCACTTTTGGACATTTTCGAGCATTTTCAGACATTTTCGGACATTTTCGTAAGAGCGTCAGTCTGAGATACTGCCGGATTTCATTAACGGTACTTTAGGGTTATGAAACGGAAATTGATGATGTTTAGAACCGCCCTAAATGAAAAAATCTAGCTCATCTTACCATTAGTGTGACTGCCTCTTTCTGTTGGCACAGCTGGAGCACTTTCTCCGTTGGTGTTGTTCTGTGAAGATGCAGCTATAAGGAATATAGGATGGAACTTAAGTCAACAAAGATTGATTACAAGATGAATTTCATAATGGAATAATTGACATATAAAAGATAACAAACATCTATGCACGATGTCTAGCGTTTAAGGGTTGCCAAAAAATGGGAACTTAGTTTTTATCGATTTCGTAAAAGAACATAAATAATTGGCATTTTCTAAACATTTGGGGAAAATCTTGAAAGGGGTTGAGAAGACATTGAGGGGGGGGGGCTTAATTAAAACCGAGTTTTGAGAAGCAAAATTTTACAATAAACCTTAGCAGCTGCAAAGATACCGCATACACAGACATGATCAGTTTTGGCAATGCTTCTTGAAATCAAACATTAAAAGGAAGCTGCCTATCTTCTGGATGGTCTTGCTTTACCCTTGGCACGTTCTTGCCTTCCCTCTGAGACAGCTTTGCATAAACGAATAATTTTCAAATTGTTTGGTTTCAACAAGAGATGCTACCAATGTTGAATACAGATGTTAAAAAGCTAGGATGAAAACAAACACAACCGGTAGAATGCAAAGCCCAGTGACTCACCATTTTGATCACTCTCTTGGTCTGTTCTTCGCTCTTCACTGGGTTTCGCTTCCTCCTTGATCTCTGATTTGTTCGTCAGAACTTGGTGATGAGCCAAGCTGGTCAGCTTTTCTAGCGGCTTAAGCATGCTGTTCACAGTACTAACTAAGTAAGGGCTGGACAAATCTAGACTGTGCGGGGTCTTGGCCAAATCATTAATCATGCCTTTTCTGATCAGCAAACGAATAAAGCTGAGTTTTGCCGCATTACTGCCCGCGTTATTCGCCTGCGGTGACGTCGCCTCGATGATGGTTACAATCAGATTAAACAGCGCTTGCAAACGAGAATGCTTCAACTTGCTCTCCTGTAAACTCAGCGCACGTGCAAGCGATGCTTTAAGCTCAACTATAAGAGCAGTGTGGACCTCCGGGAGCTGTGAATAGGAGCCGATTACAGCTAGCAGCGTGCGAGCTAATGCGGGAACATTTGGTGTTTCAGTGCTTTCTTGGCCAACAGCAGGGAGAAGTGAGTCACAGATAAAGGCGAGAATAGAGCCATCAAACTGAAAAAGGTTATGTTTAACTCAATGTAAGTAATATACTATTCAGAAGAAGCTGGTTTTAACATTTAGCGGTTGTTTTTATCTCCAACAGTTGAAAATCTAGTGTATGATAGCCAACCAATAGTCTAACAACCTCAGAAAAAGGTTGAACAATAATTCAACCTAACTGCATAATGCAAACGATCGTTCTATTGTGAATTCAAGCCAAGAACGGAACCCTGCTTCCTACTTCATAAAATAGCATTAGATCCTTATTTTTTGCTTGAGTACTCCTGTTCGTTATTGCTTTTTTAGTGTTGCAGCAGGATATTCCAAACCTTTCCATTTTTGCTTTACAAGCAGACTACTGTAACATCAGCAAGTTAGACTTGTGTCAAAAGCAAACAAGATTTAACTTCGAGGTCACGGCACCAAACTGTATCCAAAGAAAGGAAGAGCACTGTTTCCATGCAGACATTTCAGCAATTCACAAGTTTTATATACCAACCTTATCTGGAAAAGTATTTGAGAAGAAAAACTCTTGTATATTCTTGCAAACATGGTTTTGGCTTTAACAAGGAAGTTGTGCCGTACAAAACGTGGATCCTATAACATTGCAAGCTTAACAGCAAGAACACAAAAATTTCTTAAAGATTATTAACTGTACAAATGAAATAAACATTGAAGTTTCAAATCAGGCGTTCAATTACAATGGCTGATTTTATTCTTTCAGGCAGGGAACTTGAATTTCTTTATTTTGACTTTTTTCACGATTCCATCAACGAAAAACTTAAGCGAAAAATACTAACCTTTGCCGTTTTCTCATTTCCCTTTGAAACATACACGTACTCTGCAATTATTTTTGCGATGACTGGGTAACTTTTTGTCAACTCTGCAAGTAACTTCAAGACAACAGGTTTAGAAAACAAACGCTTCTTTGACTTGTCAACCGAAGATGGTTTCTTTTTCTTTGCTTTTAGTGACTGCACCAAGTTTCCAACTTCATCTTGCGAGCCCGCCGAGGACAGCCTTTGTCTAGACTCTTCTACAAAACAAATAGGGTATGAACAATTATTCCATGTATATACAGAGGTAATCATTGAAATAACTCAATAAATATTCAATAAGACAATGTCAGTAAATGTAAAAGAATTTAACACTTTTGAGGGTAACTAATGTAACACTGTAGCTAACATTTCATTGTAGCATTCTACTAAATATATTAATACAACATGATAAAGGATTGCAAAATTGCAGCAGCATTGTAGCAGCATTATGGTAGAAAACAACTATTGCCAGCTTAATGACAGCCTTCTTTAACTCTTTATCATACCTTGCTTAAAACAGACATTTTAACTAAGTAAGTGACACAAGTCAGTTGCTTGCAAAATAAATAATCAATGCAAGGAACTTACGATCAGCCTCTTCTTCATCCACTGGTTCTCCTGTCAACCTCCTTACCAAATCTGCTTGCTGTACGATCCCTTCAGAGAGCTCTGGTACAGCAGTACTAATAGCATCAGCTTCCTTGTTCTCTTCTGCGTCAACATCCTTCTCTACTTTGCTCTTCTCTACTGGCTCCTTTGTGGCTTCCTTGTGTTCGGTTACATGCAACTCAACGAGTGAATCCAACAACACAATAATCAAATCTTTCATCGGCAAATGGCAATCTCGCCACGGTGTAATTCGAACCGGTTGCACTAGCTTCAGGATTTGCGGTGAATTAGGAGGAATTGACAATTCATGCTCGTCAGTTTGCCCCCGTCGCAACTGAGATGGTAACTGTATTCTCAACAGCCTTTTAACGGCTTCTTTGAAAAGAGACGGGCAACGACAAGCGGCTGGACCCAAAGTTCTCAAAACATAATGCAGCTCTTTAGTTCCTACTGAGTTTTTGCCAACTCCGCTAATGATACTGCCAACGCCTAATGACTTGGCGCAGATAACTGTCTCTAAAATCTGCTGCAGGGTTGTCATATCTTCTACAATGTGCCTTAGCAGCGACGTGGCGAGAGGAATCACCCCTGGGAAGGAGGATTTCTCAGTCAGCTTCAACAGGGCACGTGGTCCACCTTCTTCTGAGAAAATCGATGCCATTTTGAAATCACGTGTTAGTCTCAGCGTAAGGCGCATGACAGCATTTAGAGAAACTGCATCAACAGGCAGTGCGATTATTCTGGTGCATGTCCTAAGAGAAGGAAAAATCAGTAACAGGAGAACCTTTCTTTCAGATATTTACATTCAAGATTTATTTCTTCTATTCCTGGACACAAAATATGATTACATCGTCAGTAAAAAGGCTTGAGGTACCCTCTCTCAAAAACAGTACGAGCAACCCCTCTCAACTTGGTTTCAGAAGATAATCCTATTAAGGAGTGTCGACCAATGTAACGCCGTCATTCACCTAAACAATTAGTGCCTCGAAGGGACCAGAATAGAACCTCCCTCCCATCAACCGTTAGGGCCTATTGAATTCAATGGTTGAAACAATAATTTCTTATCTATCCCAAACTTTTCCATGGTTGTTTTTGATTCTCAATGCCACATATTAAGAGATTTTCAAGTGGATACCATAAGTGAATGACTAGGAAAGGGAATATATGCCAAATCCCCCTATCATTGAGTAAAAAAGAAATGGAACTTACCGGACCATTCTTTCAGTCTGAGACTTTTTGAAACCAGTAATTGTCGGCATATCCAGCTTTCCTTTCGACTCTAGATGAAAAATGTTTAGATTTCATAATAAGAAATATTGGTTTTTGCAAGCAAAAGAGTACGGGAGCTGTTACCTTTAAAAAATAACGAGGAAATGGTTTTAAAAAATGACGTGCAAACATCAAAGGGAGAGCTTAATTAAAAAATAGATAGACTTTCTATAGGACTGTGCTTCTATATAAATGGAGCCCTTCCATCGTATCACAAGTTTGCATTTGAGGAAAAACGAGATCTTAGCTATAAACAAAAGATATCAGCTTAACTTCCCACTCGCCTCTCACCCCCGTTCTTATCCACCACCTAAATACTTTGACGGCCAAACACTACATACAAAAGCATTTTTACCTTGGCTTGTTGATACGGGGGTGTCTGTATCCATTAGCGTATCTGTCAATGATCGCTTTCGTTTACCCTTCTTTGGAGAACTAACAACTTCTTTATTCTTTGCTTCTGGGGTCTCTTGTTTTGTTGCAGGGTCTTTCTTCGCTTTGGACATAACATCTAGCATAATCGGCCTTCTGTTTCCTGTGTCTTCGTTCACCTAAGAGAAAGAAGTATATATCTGTTAAAGTATCTTTTTTGCTACAGTCCCTAGAGTTAAAGGAGTCACTCTTTGTTATATTGGAGAATAGCCATCGACAGACCTCCGATATTTGAAGGACAGTATATTGAGTATGCCACGCTTCATAACGGGATTACTTTATCTAAAGGACAGTATCGACCTGTTCCCAGCGGAGCAAATGATAAATGGAAGAGAGAAGAAGGGTTGATTCTTCCTTAGCTCGTTCTCTTTCCTATTTATCGGATCCACAAGTTTTCAAGACATATTCGTACTATAGCATATTGTCATTATCATACTTTTAACAGCCCTATAGCCTTTGTAAGAAAACAATTAAAAATGTTAGCAAAAGCAAAAGGTGCAATGATACTCGAATGAATTGCTGGGGATAGTTGCATACCTGGACCATGACTTTGAAAAGAACAATGTACCTCCTTCGACCTGCAGTGAATCTATAAAAAAACAATAAATTCAAACATCAGTACATTTGTAGTTTGCATATACATGCAACTTCAACTCTCAATGCATCCTAAAAATATATCTAAATTTGCATTATATGTGACCTAGAAAAAGCAAGCTTATATATCGTGGACCGCATACAAGCATAGCGAATCGATATAGTTGATTTAGTTGCATTTGGTTGGAAATAAGAACTCTAAACAAGCAAAAAATGTATGAGAAGCATTGTAGCAATAGTGATCTTTATATTTTCGTATTTAATTGTTTTAAGGACGGATGCTTTTCAGAAAATGCTGAATTTCAAGGGGGCCTCCCATTAAAAAACAACTTGTAACTGAAAGAAAACATATCTGACTATTCATTTGACTTGAGTCAATGGCTCACCTGACAGATGTCTCCCCTGCATGATATGCTGTGTCAATTGATGAGTTGTTACTTGTGCTGTAGTTACACCAGCGACCAGTGCGGTCATCGAACCATTTCCAAATATGAGAACAATCCTAAGTAATAATTATGCAAGGTAACATAGATCGCAAAGCGTAGAATTTTGACGAATTTCACAACTCCGAAAGAGACACAAACAAAACAAGCAGCTCTCTACTGCAAAAACGATGATTTAACTCGGACATGTTTGCCATCAAATATCATTTTTCAACGTTGTCTTCGATGTAAGAAAATTCATACATAGTACTTGTGTCACTTTGGCTCGGTAAAGGGCATACAAAACACGAAAGTTGGCGAAAGAAAGTAGTTAGAAACCGTACTAAAGTAGTAGCAACGGCTCATTCGCCTCGTCAAGCTCTTGTCAAAGGTGGTCTTGTTTCGGACAACAGAGCCTGTTTCACCGAAAATCGTAATGCGAAAAGGGAGGTAAATCGAGAGGTTTTAGTAAGACTATTTATTTCAATTTTATCTTGGTAGCTGTTAGACTCTTCGGTTTCTCAGGCTTTAAGGTAACATGGGCCATTGCAGACAACTGGTTGACTAGAAAAGGGAATCTGCACTGGACCGTGTTAGTTGGCAGTTAGCAAAAGAAGGTAATAAGTATTAGCACCATCAAGAAATTATAGTAGTATGTGGGGGCTAGAGGTGTAAAAACTGATAATGAATTTGAATTGCTGTTGAGTAATAAGTTCTGAATTTGAAGTTAAATAAATGAAAGTGACGTAAATTAAATTGTTCTGTACGTGCTAACTCGAGCTAATTTTATGATAATTGTTTTAACAATAACCATAAGAATATCTTATTAAACTGGCGGCCGCCATGAAACTAGAGCCTATGGCAGCTTTCTACGCTGAGAATAAAGATAAAGCGAGAAGGATAATAAACGTA